CACAGTGAGTTATAGTTCTAACAAACCACAGCTGCCTGCTAGGTCTGCTTAATGGGGTAACTGGCTATTTGCACACCTGAGTCTCCCCTCACTGTGGCTTAAGAATGCCTTGTGTTCCTTGAGCAGCCATTAGGCTCAGCATTTGCTAGATTTGACAAAGCAGCTGGTCCCATAATCAATTATGCTTCTGAGCTGAGTTCAGGTCCCCAAGGGGATCCTTGGGAGCTCAGAGAGGTAGGAATGTCTTTACTGAGGTTGCTAACATAAGCAATGATCAGAGACTGGAGTGGAGGATGGGCTGAGAAGTGAGAGCCAGGGGAAAGAGAGGTTCCAACTTGGCACCAAACAGCAAGAACCACGCTGAGACGTACTGCACACGGAAGTGGGCAGCCTTTGTTGGATTCTGGGGATTGTTTGTTTTCAAGGTAATGGAGCCAACCACCACTGTGTCAAAGGCACTGCTGTGGAATGTGCCTTTTTCTAAATTGAACCCCAAATATCTATTGTAGAAAGTGCTCTAACATCCCAAGCCCTTAGAGGTTGCCTGGCTCAAGTTCTTTGCTTTGTATAAGGCAGGGAAATGTAAAGTTGTTTATCCATGGAAGATGGCTGAGTGATTTCAGCCTTATAACCCAGCTTTTCTCCAGTGGTCAGCATTTTTTAGAAGAGAGTGAGATTTGAGAATCACTCAGGACTGTGAAACCAACAGAGCTCACGTGAGACGGAGCCCTGGTCCTTGGTCTCCACCTGGATGGGGGTTGGCGTAGCCTGGAGCTGCTGGAAAGGATGTAAAGTTAAGAGAAGCACATATTTAACAAAGGACAGCCAAGCTGATGGCTTTAGAAAGAAAGAAAAAACAAGAATAAGGAAGTTCTTCCTGGGTACACAGAGCTCCTAGCCAAGGAACATCATCAGTGACAAATGTCTGGTACATTACCTCTCTTTGGCTCAAAATATGATATGTTCCTTTTCTAGAAGTAGGGCCACTCTGTTCTAATGATCTGCACAGAGAGTTGATATCCTCTGGACGTGGGCCAGAAGCCACCTCCCCTCTGATTGGCAGAGAAAGGCACTAGGGTTTCATTCTGTCCAGAAAGCAGGTGTTTTATAGTGTGTACCTGGAGCTGCACTGCCTCCAGTCAAATGCATTCTCCAGAACATACCACCAGGTGATGCTAGGCAAGCCAGTTAATGCTTCAGAACTCTGATTCCCTCATCTGTCAAATGAGTGAATTACTAGCCTCAAAGATGGCCCTAAGGGTTAAAGAGGATCATGACCCGTAGGTGCTAAGCTGCAGTACACATTGACAATGTTAATATATAACCCACTGTTGAATTTAAAGGGAGAAGTTTTACGTGGACTGGATTGTATATAGGCCATCTGTTTCTAAATTAAGGGAGATGCGGAGACTTTGAAGACAAGCCCGGGAGAGAAAAACAGGCACTTACAGGAGAACTACTCCACAGGGAGAGACACTAGCGTACACTAGAGAAATGAAAGCCGCCCAGTTTTTGAGCTCTGCTAAGAACTGGGTAAGGAGAGAGGCGGCAACTATTGCATGCAGGATTCAGGTTAATTTTACAGAAGTTTCCTAACAGCAAGACACACCAAATGTTTCTAGACCAGAGCCCCCCACCCCCACCCCGCCACACACACACACACCTATTCCATACAGTTTGCTCAGCCATTCCTGGGGCCAGAAAGAGGGATGGGGTGCCAGGAGGCCTGCTTCACATGTCTCTGGTTCTCAGTTCTCAGAATTGAAGGCACCAAAGAAAACTGGATGTAGGGTCCAGGTGCCTTAGAAAGCTGCGTAGAAAGCTGGGGGCAAAGGTCCCTAGAGGCATCTGAGGTCTTGAACCATGTTCTGCTGGTATGTTCTACTGAGTGACGGGAACAGCTAAGTCTGTCAGCACTTTTGACCTTTGTCACTACAAGATAGCCAGAAACTATATCTCATTTGACCCTTTAAAGCCAATTTGATTAAAGTGGGGTCATGACCTGATGTCCCCTGACTGACCATCTGGCTCTGGGGATCCATGAGTCCTCTCTCCATGTTCCATAGCCTCCAAGAGTCACTCTTGGGCAGCTTTTCTTGAATGTATGCAGGTTTGAGCTTGGCATCTATATCATGGGGTTGTTTGTTTTGTTTTGTTTTGTTTTGTTTTGTTTTGTTTTGTTTTTTGGTATCAGGGTAGAACCAACCTGAACCGGAATTCGGCAGAGCATCCCTGTCTCCAAAGTGAAAAGAGCTGTTTTAGCTAAAGAGACAGCTTTCAACACATAGACCCTCATGCAATCATTACCTTCACCTTGGTAGTTACTGGTTCCTGTGTCTCCTCCAAGGAGAGGAACCAGGCACTCTCCCTTCAGAACAGAGGCTCCCAAGTCACCAGCCAGATCCTTAAGTTTTTGTGGTTCCCTTCTGCACAGCTGATGTTTTACATAACCTCCCTTCAGCTCGAGCCTTCTTGTTGCTCTGTAAAGCCACTAGTCACCATGGTCCCCCTGCAAGATTTCCATATCCCTAAGAATCCAGTCGAGATGCTCTGGACCTCTTCATTCCCTCCCAGCTTCTTGATGCTGAGCTTATCAGTTGCCTCCGAGGAAAGCTGGGATCTTAGATGCTGAGAATAGTAAACCAGGCCAGAGCAGTTCACAGAGGACACAACGCCCTTCTCCTTCACCTCTTGGCCTTGGATTTTGAGTTTCTTTGACTGGAGTTACTAGAAACATTCTGAAACTACCTGTGAAAAACGGGGACAAAGTAACATCTGTAGCTTCAGACTGAGAGGCAACCATGGCAACACAGTTTCGAATCCAAAACAGCTAACTTGTGAGCTTGAGCAAGTCTGTTAACTTCATAGAAACTTGGTTTCCTTTGCTAAAAACACACAAGTGGTAACATTTATTGTGAAGATTAAACATGCTGACCCTGCAGACCAACCAGTCACAGCACTTGGCCCTTATTAAATACTTACTGGGCAGTGATGGCTTCCTCTGACTTTCAGGGTAGTCTTTCATTCCCTTTGAACCGGGCTTGCTTCTCAGTCTCTGCTTCCTCCCTACGATACTTCTGTGTGTTGGTAGCCCACACCCTGTCCTGAGTGGTGCTGCTGTATGTAGCTTTTCTCTGGTCACACTCCTATGTGTCATGATGCCCAGAGCAGGGCTCTACGCTAATAATCTTCCTGCTCCCCATCCTTACTGCTTCCCTGACACTTGGGGTTCGTGCTGCCTGCTGTGGGATGACTTAAGTGTCTAGAGGGTCACAGACTGGCTCCTGTAGACTTTTCTTGTGTGGAATGAGTGTGGTGACTGAGATGTGCTCTTTTCCATGTTATTATGGGGTTCACAACTCTGGACAGACTCAACCACTTGATGTGAACCTTCTGCTCTGGTTTCTCTCTGTCCATTGGTGCCCATGACTGTGAGTTTTTTGTTTTTGTTTGTTTGTTTGTCTTTGTGACTGTGTGATGGAAGGAAGCTGCTGCTTCCTGGTTACTGAGTGTGGATGCTGCTAGGTCTGCAGGTATAGACAGTAACCGACTAACCACTTAATGGATTAATCCTGAAGTTGCCGCTGTTCTATGTGTATGCTGGTGTGATAAGTGAGACCGTGTGGGGGTAAACTCTTGCCTTCTTTTTTGTTTCTTTTTCTCTCTTTAACTTGTCAGCTTCACAAATATCTCCTGAACACGTGCCATATGCCGTCCGTTCTATTGTGCAGGAGCACAAATACCTCAGTGTGTGTTTTAACGTCTCTTCCCTTGACAAAAGATAAAAGATAAATTCTCTGAGATGTTTCCCAATGGCTAATGAAGAGAAACTGGGCGTCCTCAGGACAGGAGCCTCCCTGACTCATCCAGATACCTGCAGGGGCAGCCAGCTTCCATGGGAAGCACAAGATACTGAGCTTGGATGCCCACCAGCCAGTCTTCACCCCATCAGCAGCAGTTAAACCCAGAGGGATGCCCTTGTTCCCACTCCAGGCATCCCCAAGGGCTCCTAGCTCCTAGCAGCTCTGCCTCCCCTCCTTCCCTCTTGCCTGGCTGAGCCTACGACCCATGGTGTCTCAGGCTTATATTCCTCTTTCAGTCTTCATGTGTTTAAGGTAGTAATTCCTCCTCCAGTGTCCTGTTTGACTTGGGATTTCTGGTTGAACATTTTTTTTTATTTTTTATTTTACCTATTTCCATGGAGTTCTACAAAGAGTATAGGAAGCAAGTAAGGCTTAGGTCCACTCTCCATGGATGCACCCTGATTGGCATGTCCCCTTCCATGGGGAACAGCGTCAGTGTGTAGACCACCCAGCCTCTAAAGCCTGTGTGGAAGATTTCTGCCTATCTCATGGCTGCTCCAGCCTAGCTGAACTATTGGTCACCTCCCCCCCATCCTGGCTACCGTTTACCCTACTTTCACCCACCCCATCTCTCATGCAGTCAAGAGTGAGGAGGCAGAGTGGGCTTGGCCCCAGACAACTTTCCAGTCATCTCTCCTCGTTCATACTTTGTGTCTTTGCTAAGCCATTAATAATTCTCTGTTTATCTGGGGTCTTGCTGCTTCATCCCAGCTCCTTATCAGAGTCCCAGAGAGCAGGTGGCTTGTCTTATGTCCCCAACCTATGGCTTCTTTTTTTTCCATGTCCCTGTCTTGGGGAGGAATAGACCAATGCTGAGATGACCTGGCCTGGGGGCCCCACCATCCCAACACAGATGCCAGATATGGACCGCTCAATGCTCCACAGCCCCTCCCTTCCCAGAGGAAGGAAAGAGCTTCTGGGCTCCTCTCAACAGAACCTGGAACTGGTTACATACATGGGCTGCTGGAGCAGAGGACCCCCAAGCTTCTAAACACATCTTTTAAAGACACCCAGATCTTGAGGGTGGCTTGGGCTGGAAGGGCCCAACAGTAGGGCGTGATGACATTTCTTTCTAACCCAATAGTGTTGACACACCTGGGCAGGAGGCTCACAGAAGTTTGTTCTGTCCTGTTTCAGCCCGAGGAGTTGCAGAAAGAACGCCTAGCTTCATGTATCCCCAGGGCACCTCAAGCAGTCAGATGGTACTACGTGGCATGGACCTGCTGCTGGAGTGCATTGCTTCTGGAGTGTACGTACGGTCTGCACCATCTTCTAGCCCTGTTCCTAAAGGATGAGTGGGCATCAAGCCACACATTTGGAGGCAGAAAAAGTATACAGGGAAAGGGAAAGCAAGCAGGCCCACGAGCAGAACACTGTATGTCTATCATCTGCATCCTACTATGGCTGTCTCTGCTTTGGGAAAAGAGAAAAGGCAACGGCTGGGCATGCTGCAGATGCGTTAAACCAAAAGGCGTCTTAGCTCTGCCTTCCTGTGGCCAGACAGCCTCCTCTGAATAGAAAAGCCCAGGTTTTAGAGGGTATACACTTCCCACCTGGGCCCAAGTCCACTTTTAGGATGTCCTGGTGTCAGGCTCTTTAGAAGACACATTCAGTAATGGGCCCTTTGTTTTCTGCTTGATCCCTGTACTAGCCCAACACCAGACATTGCATGGTACAAGAAAGGTGGGGACCTCCCATCCAACAAGGCCAAGTTCGAGAACTTTAACAAGGCTCTGCGCATCACCAATGTCTCTGAAGAGGACTCTGGGGAGTATTTCTGCCTGGCCTCCAACAAGATGGGCAGCATCCGGCACACGATCTCGGTGAGAGTAAAGGGTACGTTGTGTGTATTTCTCATTATGATTAAGTTGCCAGCCCTGAACACAAATGTCATGACACCGTTCCTGCTGTGGCCAGGAGGCAGAGGGAGTGGGGAGCTTCCAGTGTCCTGGCTAATGGCAACGGTGGGCTGCCATGGTGGTATCACTCCTGGGTTATAACTACAGGCGTTCATGGGCATGGATACTGAGGGAAGGAAATTGACCTTGGTGTTTGCCCAGCTCTGGGCACTCTCTGCAAGTGAGATCCCTCACAGAGCCTTTCCTTTCATTTTGCATTCCCATCTGTGGTGTGTCGTCTTAGCCTGTGCTGTCTGTGTTGTATGCATGGCACTATGCTTCTTCTTAAGGATGGGAATCATCATGGACCAAACCATTTTTAAGCCACTTCCCTCCCCTCAAAGCAGATACAGCTCACCTGAGCTGTCTCAACCTCAGAGCTCCTGTCCTTGTGGGTCCCTGTTAGATGATGGGCTGTGTGAGTCATTACTCAACCCAGGCAACATTGCAGACCGGGAGGTCGAGGGCTGAGGCTGAGTACAATCTTCTCAGCATACAGTTGGCTGGTTACATGACCTTGTCCTCAGCACTATACACACACAAGGGTGTTCTCATTCTTTTTGGTGGGTAACAAGAATTTGGAAGCCATAATCTAGAAGTTTCTTTTTCTCAGAAAAAATCCACTTGTTCACAAGAAATTGTTCAAATAATGGGAAGGCGTGAACAGCCAAGAACGACTCTGACCAGAGTTCAGTGCCTAAAAGAAAACAATTTAGGACTTTCCATTCTTATAACAACAGAATCCCAAAGGGTATGACCAAGCGCATCGTCAATGTCCTTGACCTCTCAGAGCCTCAGCAACTCAGTCCCTTGACAACTCAGCTGTAGTAGGTCTGGATGATCCTCAGCATCCGTGCATTGTAAACGCCCTTTGGAGAATCCTAACAAGCAGAGTCTGTTCTGTGGGCCCAGCTAACCAGCCACCTGGAGGCTGGGCTGAGCCATCATCCTGAGGGGGAACGATCGGGGCTGGGACTTAGGGGTTACCCACACACAGGAGCCCACCTGGCTTCTCGTGCCTGGCCTGTGCCATCTACCTCTGCCTGCCTTGTCTTTCAGCTGCTCCATACTGGCTGGATGAGCCCAAGAACCTGATCCTGGCTCCTGGTGAAGATGGGAGGCTGGTATGCCGAGCCAATGGGAACCCGAAGCCGACTGTGCAGTGGATGGTGAATGGAGAACCTTTGCAGTGTGAGTCGAGCTGCTCCATCTTTCCCTCCCACCTCAGAGGCTCTGTTGGTGAGCCAGATGTCCCTAAAGTGAAGGAGATGAACGGCTCATTGGCACTGCTTCCAGCAACCTTCCTCTGCAGGCATCTCAGAAGCAGAAAGCCTTCCTTATTTTTCTGGTGAAACAGGAGGCTAAGCAGCCCAGAACCTGTGGTTCTGTTCCTGTGTTTAGAGATCTGTGCTTCTTTGTGGTTTTCTTAACCTTTGCTTTCTGCATAACTCTAGAGCCCAGTTTAGAATCTGAACACTGAAGCCTCAACTCAGGTTTGGACTCTGAGTGGTAGGTGAGGTTTAGAATGTTATTAAGTTATGTTGTTAACCATTGATGGATCTAAGTCTCTCTAACAAAGGCCACCTAAAAGGTGGAGTTATGTGACCATGAGGAAGACTATGGCTGAATGGAAAGAAAAACAAAACTTAAGTATTTGGGGGAAACCGGTCCTGTCCAGATGGATTGAGTAGGCATCCCGGGATCCCTTTGAGCTGATGATGTTGGTCTGGTTTTTACATTCTGTTCTGTGTAGTCGCTTTACTTTTTAAATGTCTAGTCATTCACTTCTTTAAGGGTTGGGGAAGTGTAAACAGAGATATCAACTAGTGGAACTCAGAGGAGGAAGTGTGGCCAAGTGTGGCCAAGTGTGTACAGCAGCTCAGCCCAGATGGCCAAGTGTATATAACACACTTCTATACCTTCCTAATACTACAGTTCTTCATGTTGTGTGACCCCCCCGCCATAAAATTATTTTCTTATTACCTCATAACTGTAGTTTTGCTACTGTTATGAATCATAACATGAATATCTGATATGCAGAATATCTGATATGTGACCCCTTCAGACCCACAGGTTGAGAAACACTGGTGTATAGAGTAAGATAGTCTCACCCTTGGGGGTTAGCAACTGATCTTATCAACTCAGAATAGTTGTGACGTTTTAAAAGTCCTGAGCCTGAGGTCAGAACGCCTCTCTGCTCCGTCTGACATCCTGACATACACAACCATGTCCACAGCAGGCAGGCTGACATTGGGAGACATGGAAAGAACATGGCAGGGCTTCCTGTCTCAAGGTGCCGTGCCTCTGTCCCCCACTCAGTGTCCTTGGGAGACACTTCCATCGAGAACCTTTTCCACCCCAGAGTACACAAACTGTAGAGCCCAGAGGAGTGAAAGAACACAGCCCACAGACCACAAAGCTAAGTGTGGCCAACAGAGGCCCGTGGTGCATGGAGAAGGGAGCCACTGAGTGAAGAGAACATTTCAGGCATGCTCCCGCCATAACAAGCTCTACACTCAAGAGTCCAGGGTCCCCTGCAGCCAATCCCCAAATCTAAATCCACTAAATCTGGTGGGTTTCAGCCTTCAAAGCTCCAGGAAGAAATTGCTCTAACTTCTTTGTTCCCAGAACCCCCACCCTCTGAATTTCAGTTTTTCTTTTTTTTACTGCATGTTTAGGGTCTTTTTACTTCAGCTTATTTTAAAAGCTTTTTTGCCTTAATATTGTATTCTTCTCACACTTATCTATTTGTGCATAGGCATTTTTCATTGTTATGTGTTTCTTTTTTAGCCTCCTGTGTTTCTTATTTTTCTTTTCTTATTACACATTTACTATCTTTTATCTTAGCTTTCAAATAAAGGCGCTCTGTGTGTGTGTGTGTGTGTGTGTGTGTGTGTGTGTGTGTGTGTGTTCAGGCTCACACATGTGCCCACAGGTAAATGCCAGAGGACAACTTTAGTTGTTATTCATCAAGAGCTGTTACCTTGGTTTTAGAGACAAGATCTCTGACTAGCCTAGAGTTTGCCAAGTAGGCTAGACTGGATGGCCCGGGAACCCCAGATGTCTCTGCCTCCCCAGTGCTGGGATTAGAACATGTGTCACTAGTCTGGCTTTTTTTTTTTAAATATGGACTCTGAGATCAAACCAGGCCCTGTGCTTTTGCAGCAAGCAATTTGCTAAGCAGGCAATGACCCCAGCCTGGAACAGTGCTTCGAATTCTGCTTTATTCCCTCTCTTATGTTCATTTCACCTTCCCTACAGACTTCCCCTGGAGATCTTGTATCTGTGTATTGTGTTCGTTCCCCTCCATCTTCTTGATGTTGTGCTAGGCATGCCTCTTCGTTGTCTTTCCTTCTATCTAACCTTGATTCTGTGTATTTTCTCCTTCTTTACCTCATCCATTGACTATTTTTGTATATACTCTAAATAATTTTCAACTTCATAGCACATACACTTTTACCATTTTCTGTTCTACAGCCATTCATGATGCATCCATGGGCTTTATCCAATATTAAGTGTATTTCTATGCCAAGTATGGCTTGGTGTGGTTGCTGTCTCAGCAATTTGCTGTGCACTCTCTGAATAGTACTGGGAATTGGCCCCTTAAAAGTTCAATAAGATGATACACAAATGAACCTGGAGGAGCTATCAAAGCCAATGAATGTGTACGTCATAGCTCAGACACACAAGAAACATAAACAAATATATCAGCACATCTCTGGCAAAGGAGCATGGTTCCGCAGATTCTGAACTCAAAGAGGTGAAATTAGCAAATTACAGATGAAAGATTCAAATGTTTGCATGTAAAATGATCCATGACCTCAAAGAGGATGGAAACACGCAGACAAATAAAGTGAAGTGATCAGTTCAGGAGCAAGAGATGAAAGCCCATGATATAGACAAAGAAGTCAGAAGAAGAGCACAGGAAAAAGTCAGCAACAGGGATCCACAAGAAAATTGAGATTGGTTTTTAGTTTGGGGTTGGTTTTTTTTTTTTTTTAATCAAATAGAAATGTTGAAATGAAAAGCTCAATGAATCAAGTAAAATAACACAATGGAAACCATCAATAGATACATCATGAAGAAGAAAGATTATCAGAAATAGAAGGAAAGGCCAAAGAAGCAATCATCACTAAATTTAAAAAGCATCACTAACATCACTAAGATTTTTTTATAACTAATAATATAACTTCCAAAAATCCAGAGATACAATCAAGATATAAACCTAAAGACCCATGAAGCAATAGAAAGAGCTGAGATAGAAACTAAAAGTATAGAAAATCTATTCAATGAAATTATAGCAGAAAACTTCCCAAAATCTAACTGTACATATAGACATCTAAGCACTGTCTTAGTCGGGGTCTCTACTGCTGTGGTAAAACACCATGACCAAAGCAACTTGGTCAGGAAAGAGTTTACCTGGCTTATATTTTTACATCATCCTTTGTTTATCATCAAAGGAAGTCGGGACAGGAACTAAAACATGGCAGGGACCTAGAGGCAAAAACTGATTCAGAGACCATGAGGGGGTGCTGCTTACTAGCTTGCTCCCCATGTTTTGTTCATCCATGCTTTCTTATAGAACAGAAAACCACTTGCCCAAGAGTGGCACCATCATAGTGGGCTGGCCCTCCTACACCAATAACTAGTTAGGAAAATGTCCTATAAGCTTGCTTACAGCCCAGTCTTATGGAGGCATTTTCTCATTTGAGACTCCTTCCTCTTCGGTGACTCTAGCTTGTGTCAAGTCTCCATAAACGAGTCAGCACAAACAGAAAAGACATTTAGAATTCCAAATAGCCATGACCAGAGATTGATAACACAACATAGGCAAGATGCCCAAAGTATCAAACAAATAATAGCCAAACTATAAGAGAAACATATCAACTCACAAAGGCATCAGAATAACATCAGACCTCAATACGAACCCCCTATCTGACCAAGAAAGCATGGGTTTTTTTCAATGACTGCTTCAGTCATTGAAAGTAAAGTAACTATCAACCAAAATTGTTATATCCATCAAAATTATCTTTTAAAATTCATGTAGAGGAGCTGGAGATATGGCTCAGCCTGACAACCTGAATTTGGTCTCACAGGGTAGAAGGAGAGTACCGATTCCTATACATTTCCCTCTGACTTCCAGATATACATATGACACATGTATACCATGCCACATTTGCTAAATAAGTATTTACAAAGTAAATAAAGTCATGGAGAGATAAGGACATTTTAAGACAAACACAAATTGAAGCAATTCTTGACTACCAACCCACTCTGCAGAAATGCTAAAGAAATCCTAAACACAAAGAGGAATACAGTCTCAGCCAAGAGAACCCAGCAGAGAGTGTAACTTTTTTTGTTTAGAATAGATGAATAAGAAAAACTAAGAAGGCTCTATCCTGTCCAGCATAGTCAACTAGCAAACCCCTAATACAAAAGGTGAAGGATGCCACTACATATTTAGGAAACACTCCATCAAGAGGAGAGAATGATTGTGAATATATATGCATTGAATGCTGGATCTTCCCATTTCATAGAACAAGCACTCTGTAAATGTGCATGAAAGGACAGATGGTTCCTGATACAATAGTGGTGAGTGACCATAATATCCCATCTTATCAATAGATAGGCCATCTAGATGTATAGTCAGTAAAGAAACTTCAGAGTTAACCCACAGCTAAGATCAAATGGACTTGTCTGCCATTTACAGGAAAATCCACTCAACAGCTGTAAAATAGATGTTTGTCTCTAATCCATGAAGCTTCCACTAAAATAGATCACATTTATGCCATAAACAAGGTTTAACAATGCAGAAGAATTGAAATAACTTCTTGTATCTATTCAGGATGCAGTGAATTTTGACTGGAACCCAACAAGGAGAAAAAACCACAGAAGTTCACAAATGCTCTCTTGAATGAGCAGTGGGCCATTGCCAAAATCTGTGAGGAAAACTTGAAAGATTCAAGTGAAAACTAGAAGCTCCACTTGTCAGAACCTTTGGGATCTAACAAAGGCCGTTCTCAGAGAAACATTCATAGCTTCAAGGTTGCATACTGAAAAATTGCATATAAATAACTCAAGAATGAACCTCAAGGCCTCAGGAAAACAAGAACGATCCAAACCCCAAAGCGGTAGATGGAAAAGCAATAACAAAAATCAGAGAAGAAATTAATGAAATGGAAAGAAAAGGAACTGTACTAAGTCTTAATGAAACTGAGTGTGGTTCTTGAAAAATAAATGAAATTGATAAATTCTTATCAATGAACCAAAAGAAAGAGAGGATTCCAAAATTAATAAAGTTAGACATAAAAGGAGGACATCAGGACAGATTTCAATGAAATCTAGAGAATATTTAGGACATAGTTTAGGGAAACATATAATTTGAAAAGCCTAGAAGAAATAGGTAGGATCTAGATGCCTATCACCTACCAAAATTAAATCAAGAATGTATGAGCAACTTAAACAGATCCCAAAGAAGTAATAAATTGAAAACCTGACCAAGGCAGGATTCGCTGCTGAATTCAACAGACCTGTAAGGAAATACTAACACCAGCACTTCTCAATTGTTCATGAAGTAAAAAAAGAAGGAATGTTAACAGACTTGTGAAAAAGCCTGTATTGCTCTAACCTCAAACTTGACAAGGACACACACACAAACTATAAAGCTGGACATGATGAACCACTCAAGAGGCTAAGCCAGGAGACTGGAAACAAGGGAAGAGGTGTCAGGGGGGATGGGAGTATGACTAAAGTACATTGGTATATATGTATGAGACTATAATCCCATAACTTTTGTATGCTAAATAGAAATATCATTTTAAAAATAGTCGAGGAAAGGAACAGGTGGAGAAGCAGAGAAGACAGGCAAAGCAGGGAGGCAGCTTGCTGGGTACTGGCTTTGCATCCTCACAAACACAATAGGGGAGGAAACCAAGCTCTGAATTGCAGGAGGCCACAGGGGCGGTAAGCAGGCTAGCTATAGACTGCATTGGACTTCAGTGGGCTTGCACTTTGCTAAAACTGAATCTGTAGCTATCCCCAGGGAGTTTCATTACCCCATCATGTGCAGAGATGTAGCCCCATCCTGTGGACCACCCTCCTCTGTCTTTATAGAGTTTGGAGGAAGTAGGCAGTGGTGGTACACTTCAGAGCTTTGTCTTGTAGCTACACAGCCTGGAGCTTGGTCTCAGCTCTGGGATCATCTGTCTGCAAGAAGTACCTAAGAGAAGTGACTGGCAGGAAAACTGGGTTCATAAAATTGTCCAGGCAAGGATTGGTGGCGCCACTTCCCTGGTGGCTTTTTGCTGAGTAGGTCCCAAGGTAGATGATAAGGACACACACTCTGCCTTCATTTACCTTCTGCTGAGTCCCCAGATTCTCATCTGTTGTGTGGCACCATAGGGCCAGACTCCTGTCACTTGTAGGTCTGAGCAATTCCAGTGAGCTCACAGTCTCAGCAAGCCAAAGCATTTGCCTCCAGGCCCAGACATTTCCAGCGGTTACAAATGAGGAAAGTGACATTTCTTGACATTTCCGCAAATCTTTTGTTTTGCAGCTCCTTGTCATTCCCTCCTTTCACCATTCCCTCCCCTCACTCTTTCTTCTCGTGGTGAAGACAGGAATGGTGTTCCCTCAGGACAGATGTATTACTTGATTTGTCCCAAGTACCAGAGTGACATATGGACAGGGCCTACAGCTCCCCAAACCCAGCAACACAGGAGAACTATTGACAAGAATGGCCTCTATGTAGGCTACTTATCTTAGGAAGACCTTTTTGCAAACATGAAGACTCAGCTGACACGAAGCTCTTGCCAGTGGGCAGCTTTTTTGTATTTGAAAGAGGTCTTGCCCAAAGGAGGAAAAGATGGTGGGTTTGTCCATTTGGATGCTGCTGTATTCTTGCCAGTGCACACTGATTAAGATCATAATGGATGAATGTCAGGCACGTTGACTCATGCCTGCAATCCCAATGATTAGCAGCTAAGGCAGGAGGATTGCCATGAGTGTAAGGCTAGTCTGGGATATAGAATGGGTTCAAGGCCAGCAAGAGCTCTCAGAAAACTAATCAGCTGACTAAATAAATTGAGTGAAAACACTAACAGTATTGCTAGGCCTTGCGCTAGTCACTTTACACCTGTATGAAAAGTCTCAGGATGGGGGCTGGAGAGATGGCTCAGGGGTTAGGAGCACTGACTGCTCTACCAGAGGTCCTGAGTTCAATTCCCAGCAACCACATGGTGGCCCACAGTCATCTATAATGGGATCTGATGCCCTCTTCTGGTGTGTCTAAAGAGCTACAGTGTACTCACATACATAAAATAAATAAATAAATCTCTTATAAGAAAAAAAGAAAAGTCTCAGGATATCCTCACAAAATGCCATGAGGTGGTGGGTTGTCTCACAAAGCAGGAACTGAAGCAGTATTGACAGCACTGACTGGAAATGTGCTTAGATTCCCATTTGCAAAGTCTGTTTCCATAGCTTTTATTTTCAACCACAGCTGTCTAGCTATTGCCTGCAGAAAGCAAAGAGTCAGGTTCCCACCAGATGACAGATGGAGAAACAAATTCCCATAGGGTCCAGGTCACAGGATTCAACAGTGCTGAGAGTCTAGAAGCTGGATCTACTTGGGTTCACATTCCCAAGGATCCTTAGCATACTTGGGACCTTGTCAAGAGAAAGAGAGCCCTGCATGCTCTTCATTCTGTTCTGTTCCCTATCTTATGGGAAGCCTCTCTTTCTTACCTGTAGCGGCACCACCCAATCCCAACCGTGAGGTGGCTGGAGACACTATCATCTTCCGGGACACTCAGATCAGCAGCAGAGCAGTGTACCAATGTAACACATCCAACGAACATGGCTACCTGTTGGCCAATGCCTTTGTCAGTGTGTTGGGTGAGTCTCTGCCTACTAGCAGTGGGGCCTTCCTGGGGTCTAGTGATGTCGTGAGGTATGTTTTCTCTGCAGCCTAGCATATTGGGCAGGCTTGGGGAGGTGTGACCCATGAATGGAGGGCTTGCACTCCACCAAGCCAGGTGACCATGGGGCTCATTCTATCAGAGAAGCTGCACAGGAAGTGCTTCTGAGCATGGCTGCTGTATTCCTTGGGCAAGGAGAGGGAAGTGGGAACTGGTAGATCCACCATGTCTCGGGGCCATGGAGGATTGGCTCCAGAAGCTCTGAAACACTTTGGGGAAACACTTTGCAAAAGCCAGTCTAGATATGGGGCAGATGTGGGATAGACAAATGGATAAATTCACTCCCTCTTCACCTAAACACAGCAAGAATGACATGCTTTGACTTGTAACATGACTGTGGTCTACAACCGTGTCGGGCAGCATTTGTAATGCTCCTGGGACACCTGAATCCCAGGGACCGTAGGTTGGATCGGTTTCCCTTACACGAAGCTTGTAAAAGGAAGGGACTCTCAGAGTCTCGACTGCTGTAAGGGGAGGAACAAGGGAAGGAAAGGGAGAGTTGTGCTTCACATGCATATTGGAAAATTGGCCCTCTGGGGTTTCAGATGTACCTCCTCGGATGCTGTCTCCCCGGAACCAGCTCATCAGAGTGATCCTTTACAACCGGACACGGCTGGACTGTCCGTTCTTCGGGTCTCCCATTCCAACACTCCGATGGTAAGTCCCAGGAGACCAGGTCTCCCCAGCAGGGGTAGTCTGTCTTTTTGGTTCCCTTCTGCCCTGCAGGCAGTATTCAACAAAACCTGGGATCCTTAAACAGTCAAAGCTGGCCAATCTGGGTGAACCCCCATATTGTTCAGAGGGGCTGGAAAGATGCTAGTGGTTATAGGCAGAGCCTGCACGACTCAGAACTGTGTCTACCTTGAGCTCCCCAGCCCCCCAACCCTGCCATAGACTCTGCTGCTTCCTGGCTCCCTTGGGCCAGTCTTTTCTCAGTATGCTGTGTTTGCTGCTCTGTTGTGAGGTTTAAGAATGGGCAAGGAAGCAACCTGGATGGTGGTAACTACCACGTCTACGAAAACGGCAGTCTAGAAATCAAGATGATTCGCAAAGAGGATCAAGGCATCTACACCTGTGTGGCCACCAACATCCTGGGCAAAGCTGAAAATCAAGTCCGCCTGGAGGTCAAAGGCAAGCCAAGGGGGTTCCCTAGTGGGAGTTCAGGTAGGGCAATAAAGCCATGCTCACGGCTATCCATTGGTGCTGGTGCTTTTGGAAATGCCTCTGCCTGAGGTCTGATCCTGGTGGACATCAGCATGTCCTCTCAGCGACTCCAGCTGACCCAAGTGTGGGAACCCTGAGGCAGGCAGCCTATCAATCTGATCCAGAGCTCACCTACCTCCCCAAACCAGCACTCATATCATAGATTTCTGGGCCCGAGAACTATGTGGGGATTTTAATCACCCTACACACAGGAATCCCCACTCATCTTACAGCTAGTTGTATTCTGTGCCTGACATCTCAAGCTCAGGCACGTCACACTACATGGACACATAGGAGCTGGTGGGCAGAGAAGAGGTCAGTGGTCAGCTTTGCAGTTGTCTTCACAGACCCCACCAGGATCTACAGGATGCCTGAGGACCAGGTGGCCAAGAGGGGCACCACAGTGCAGCTGGAGTGCCGCGTGAAGCATGACCCCTCCCTGAAGCTCACAGTCTCCTGGCTGAAGGATGACGAGCCACTCTACATTGGAAACAGGTTTCTGCTCTCCACCACCTCTGATCCTTACACACAGTTAAGGGAAGTTTGCTCTTGCTTTCAGTGCCACACATGTCACTAGGGAGCTACTAGGAGTGATGGCCTTGGTGGCCCATTCCTCAGGGGCAACCCCAGGAACCTTTTCCTCCTCTTATCAGAGGCCTGTTGCTCTCTCCTTCACCTCTTCTCTCCCATCTTCTGTCTTCCTCGACCCTTCTCCTCCCTCCCTCCCTCTCTCTCTCTCTCTCTCTCTCTCTCTCTTTCTCTCTCTTCCTCCATCCCTCCCTCTCTCTCTCTTCCTTTTGATTTATTATGTACAGTGTTCTGTCTGCATATATGCCTGAATGCCAGAAGAGGGCGCTAGATCTCATTACAGATGAATGTGAACCACTATGTGGCTGCTGGGAATTGAACTCAGAACCTCTGGAAGAGCAGTCAGTGCTCCCAACCTCTGAGCCAACTCACCAGCCCCTCCTCTCAATTTTTTCCTCCCCTTTGCATCCCCCTCTTCTTATTCCCTTCCTTGCCTCTTTATTCTGCATTCCACACTCCAATCCCTTCTGCTCTGCTTGTAGTGCCCCCGCTCACCAGTAGAGGGCAGGCCTGACCTCGTCTGTCTCATCCAGTGAGATGCCTGATGCTTCTCAGCTCTAGATCTTCTGGATGATTTGACAGTGCCCCCAGCTGCACCTCCCACACCCCAGTTCTGATTTTATTGGTTTAAGGGCTCAGGTGCTGATAATATTTAAAGGTCCCCTGGGTATTTTGTAATGTGCAGTCGGGATTGAGAACTGCTGCTGATCCCATCTTCCCTTCCCAGGGCTTTTTGCTGTCTCTGAGCTAGGCAGAAAGACACCAGCCATTCCCAGTCTCGCCCAGCTTCATGCAGGCTTCACCCGCCTGTGTGCACTGGCATCCAGCGCTCACTGGTTTTGAAAGCTCTAGAGCTGTCCTGTATTGCTCTGGGATGCCCCCTCCCTTTGTTGGAAACAGGTTGTTTTCTGAGCTCAGAGAAGTCGAAACTGGTCCACGGGACAAGTCACGTGTAAGGGAAGGGGAGTGACAGCGGCCTGTCTTGGGTTGTCAGTGTAATCGTACCCTAATTTGGGAAGTGTGTACAGCACAAGAAAGGCTCAGAGCCGGGTCCAGTGTGGATGCTGAGGACTTCTGTGTCCAGTCAGTGTTGAGATGGTCCCTCACACCCCAGCAGGAGCCATGCTCTCTCTCTCACCTGGCCCAGCCACCTCCTTCACCTCCTCCTCACTCTCCCCTTGTGAGACAAAAGTATCAGTTATGCTCGGTATGTGAGCCACCCTCCCTCCTGCCAACCTCAGCCTGGCATCTCGCAGGATGAAGAAGGAAGACGACTCCCTGACCATCTTCGGAGTGGCAGAGCGGGACCAAGGCAGCTACACGTGCATGGCCAGCACTGAGCTGGACCAGGACCTGGCAAAGGCCTACCTCACTGTTCTAGGTAACAGCTGTCACCCACGTCAGTGCTACAACCCTTCTCCCTGCTTCCCAGCAGCCAGAGCGGCCGTAAGAACTGGGCAGTGCAGAGTCGGCAGCGGTTAGGCGCGATGACTTCTTGGGGTCTCTGGATTAGGAGCTGCCTCTCTCAAACAAGCTGAGGAGGACAGTGTGGGGTTCTGTCTCCTGAGTGAGGTTTTGACCTCCTGAGCCCAGCTGAAAGGTGTGGGACGGCAGAAAGTGGAGTGACTTCTGCCTCTTCTGCCCTCTCACAGCTACCTCCACACCACCAAGCTGACTAAAGCCGTCTTGAAGCAATGCTAGACCAAGAGGATGATGGTGGTGGTGGTGTGTGTGTGGTGTGTGCAGTGATGTGGTGTGAAGTGGTATAATATGGGATGGGGGGGTGTTGTGTTTGTGTCTAGATGTGTGGATGGGGAATGATTTGTGTATGTGTATGTGTGTGTGTGTGTGTACGTGTGTGGGGCTAATGGCATGTGTGTGAGTGTATATGTGTATATGGGGTATGATGTAGGATATATGTCTATGTGGGTGTAGCGTGGAGGGGGAGTGTTGTGTGTTATATGTATGTGTTTGTGTGGTGTGTGTGTCTGTGGAGGTGTGTGGTTGGAATGTTGTGTTTATGTAGGGGTGTGTGCGTGTGGTGTGTGGGGGGTGTGTGTTTACTTCCAGCACCTCCTCCAGTTTCCTTCCCCTCCTGTGCTGCTCCCAAGTGTTGGTGGCATTTCACACTGCCACACACTGACTTAGAGGATGCCACCCCTTCCTGTCCTTGCTGGCCTGTAAAGGGCAAGCCACTCTGATCAGATGAGAAGGTGGCTACCTCTTCCAGTGTAGCAGGTCCTCTGCTGCCATCTCTGTCCTGTTCCCTGTCTGCACTCCTGCAGTGGAGGCTGCACTTGCTGGCCAAGATGGGCCCAGATATGTTAACAGTACTAGGACAGGAAGAAGCCAGAAACTCCACTCCAGGCCATGGAGAGACACAAGGGGCCAGCTGGGAGGTGGACTGCCCAGGGATGGCTGCAAAAGCCTCAGTCATCCATCTGTGTCAGTCTAGAGCCCTTTAACCCTGATAACGTGCTAACCTGGATAACCTGCTAACCTGGATAACCCATCTTGCCGTTGCAGCTGATCAGGCCACTCCAACTAACCGTTTGGCTGCCCTGCCCAAAGGTAATTGGTACTAATCGGGGGCTCTGGAGCCCAGGGGTAGAATCGTGAGGAGAAATGTGCTGGTGGACAACACTTTCACATGCCCTGCATGTGACCTCTGACCCTCAGGCACCCACAGTCACCTGTCTTCCTGGCCCATGTCAAGACTCCTTCTGCAAGTTGGACTCATAAGTCTGGACCTCCATTTTTCTCTTTCTACCACACTTAGCCCTCCCTTAGGGTGCCTCGTGCTGACCCCTAGCTACGCCTCAGGTGCCTAATGGCCAGTCAGGAAAGCTTCCTCAGACATCCCCTACAGGCTCACCAATGTGTAGACTGCCACACACCTACTGCTATGCATCATGTACCCCGCCCCCACGCACACGCACGCACTCCTCACGCACACACGCACTACTGTGAACTTAAGTGACTCACTGTCGAGGTTAGTACATCTCAGCCTTCCTAACATGACAACCCGTTAATACAGTCCTCATGTTGTGGTGACCCCTCACCACCACCATAAAATTATTTTTGTTCATTCTGTACAGACTACATAAGTGTGTGCTGCCTCATGACTGTAATTTTACAACTATTATGAACCATAATGTAAAAATCTGTGTTTTTCGGTGGTCTTAGGCTACCACTGTGAAAGGGTTATTTGACCCCCACAGAGGAATTGTGACCCATGGGTTGAAAATCACTGTTCTAGGTCCTCCTAGTAACCAGCCAAAATATGGAAATAGCTGGTTCAGAGAGGTAAAATGTGGGAGAAAGTTATCTTCCTCCATTCTATGGCTGCATGACTTCTTCCAAAACCAGGACGAGGCTGATACTCCCTAGAACAACACTGCCAAAGCTGCTTCCTTTATCCTGTGTGGAAGTCTGTGGCCTCTGCTCTACACACTCACACAATCCAGACTGAGTCTCCTACCGGGCCTGTCCTGGCCTCTCTTGGTCCCTCCCGACTTCCCTCGTCTATCTGCCCCGCTCAGCACTGCAGAGCTCACCTGGCATGCTCCTGAGAGTCCTGGCATCCAGAAAGATAAGCAGTCATCATGAGGCGTGAGACCAAAAAAAGTCCCCGTTCCTCCCCACCAGCCTCCTTCGGGGAAGCAGCAGCTTACCCGTGATGTGTATGTTCTAAACGACCTGAAGAAACAGGATGGCCTCATTCCCTCCATCTTCCTGATTCTCCTTATTACCTTGTTCCATATTCTTTGATCTTCTTGGTTCTCCCTTGTCTCCTGGAGGGACTCGGGTGGTCCCTGGCTCTCTAGGGTAGGTTGGGGTTTGATCTACTGGCAGTAGAGACCTGAGCCCTCAGGGACTTGTCCAGGACTAGTACTCCCACCATGGAGAGGGACTGGCTCACCTTCAGGAGTTCAGAGTAATATCTTTTTCTTCTGCTTCAGGGCGGCCAGACCGACCCAGGGACCTGGAGCTCACTGACCTGGCCGAGAGGAGTGTGAGGCTGACGTGGATCCCCGGGGATGATAACAACAGCCCTATCACAGGTCAGCCTAGAGCCCTGTGCTCCAAAACCAGAGAGTCTTGGACCAAGGTCCCCTAGTGTCCGCTCACACCTCTGCCTCATAACCCATGCATGGAGGCCTTGGTTGTCCCGTGTCTTGGGAAGGCATCTTTGTGTCCCCGTCTATCCCGAGGAAACGATAAAGACAAACAGAAGCCATGAAGGATATGCTCTTAAAGCAGGACTCTGTGACTCCCAGACCAGCTCTGTCCTCCTTGTCCATTCAGACTACGTCGTTCAGTTTGAAGAGGACCAGTTCCAACCAGGGGTCTGGCATGACCACTCCAAGTTCCCAGGCAGTGTCAACTCAGCCGTCCTCCATCTGTCCCCATATGTCAACTACCAATTCCGAGTCATCGCTGTCAACGAGGTTGGAAGCAGCCACCCCAGCCTTCCATCTGAGCGGTACCGAACCAGTGGGGCACGTGAGTACTTGAGCCCCAGGTGCCCTGGGTTCGCACTGACACATCCCAGCTCCCGGCCATGGGGACTTAGGCTGGAACTGACTTGCTGTTCCAAGTTTTAGCCTCTTCACCTATGAAACAGAATGATAATGACACATACATCTCAGGGCTATGGTGAGGACTCCCACTTAAAAACCTGGGGAGATAGGTTAGTGGGAATAAGCACCAGCTGCCAAGTCTGATGACCTGAGTTTGATCCCTGGTACCCAATGGATGGAAGATGACTGAATCTCAAAAGTTGTCCTCTGACCTTCACCCATGCACTATGGCATATGTGAAGCCACACATGCATACACTAAACAAACACACAAACAAATAAATAGCTGTAATGTAGAAGAAAATGTGTCTTGAGGGCCAGAAAGATAGTTCAGCTGTGAAGCATAAAGGACGTGAATTCAGTTCCCAGGATCCATGTAAATGTGGGCCTGGTGGCACTCATCTGTCATCCTGACAATGGAGAAGTGGAGGGAAGGAAGCATGTCTGGGGCTTGCTGGTCAGCCACTGTCGCTGAATCACTGGTTCCAGGTACAGTGAGAGACCCTGTCTCAAACAGTAACGTGGAGAGTGAACGAGGAAGACACCCCTGGCCCCCACACATGTGCACATACAGATGCACATGAAAGGACAGAATAGAAAATACATGCCAGGCTCTTACTGTGGTGCCCATCACACAATAAACATACAGTAAATCTTAACTGTCATTTGTATTATTGTTAGTGATTCTTTATCATCTGCTTGAATGTGTAGAGCTGTGGCAGAGACATCCTTAAGAATATATATAATCTGGTGCTATGTCAGATTTCTCTTTGTAACACACCAAGATAATGGCTGAATTTATGCAACCACACCAGCTCACAGAGGTAGAAATGCTTTCCCTAAAACATTAAATACTAAGATAAGCCAGCATCTCACAAAACATACTCAGCAATGATCTATGAAGGGGACAGCGTACGGAGTTACCGCAGTGGTCACCTGCAAGGTGGAAAGCTTGTGGTAAGTGCTAACTCATCAAAGGATTACACTGAAAAGACATTAGCTCTACTTTGGGGGTGCAAGTCTTAGCCAGGAAGACATAGCACACATGGAAGAAAAAGAGTCAGGAGCTGAGAAGAACCAGAGTACAGAAGGGGCCAGTTAGGCAGGGAGGCGCACCGGGGGTCCTGGTCAGCCTCAGGATGGGTTTCAGCTTTATCTGTTTGGATTCCAGCCCCTGAGTCTAATCCCAGTGATGTGAAGGGCGAAGGGACAAGAAAGAACAATATGGAGATCACATGGACGGTGAGCGTACCTCCCCACCCCAGCCCCCAGTGGGCTGCTCACTTAACAGCAGACACCCAGGAGCCCCCATTCCTTACTCCCCTGGTGCCATGGTCTGCTTCGGTGTGTCTAACTCAGTGGCCCTCAACCTTCCTAATGCTGTGACCCTTTAACACGTCTCCTCACTGTGATGGCCCTCCCAACCATAAAAGTATTTTCATTACTACTTCACAACTGTAATTTTGCTACTGTTATGAATCGTCGTGTGAATATCTGATATACAGGATATCTGATATGTGACCCCTGTGAAAGTTGTTCAACACCTTCCCACCCGCAAGGGGTTGTGATCCGCAGGTTGAGAAACTCTGGTCTAACTGATTGGGACCACTGTCCTCTGAGAACCAAGCTAGTCTCAGAGTTGAACATTCAGAAATAAAACAGAATAAGTGTCTAGGAGCAGGAGTTCAGAGCAGAGATGGGAGCAGAGGTCACCAAATGTCACAGGCTTCCAGTCAGGCAAAATTCATCAAGAAGGCCAACAAATTAAAACAGTTTGGTTTTGAAGGCAGGACCTGGCTTTAGGAGAAGAGATGTGCAGGATGTCAGCACTGAGCTTGGTGTGCACTGGCTCTGTGCAGTGGGTTGTTGGAGGCTCTGGTGCCGTTACAAACCCCAGGTTCTTCCTACAGCATGGGCTAGGTGACCCAAAATGTCATCTCCCCTCTTCAGCCTTGCCCCCTGAACCTCCCTTCCAAACTAAAACTGAGATATATGTTTTCAAACTGACTTTTCCTAAGCCACTCCCAAGACTAAAATTGGAAAATACATTCACTCAAGTGGCACTGAGTCGCTGCGGTGAATATCGACCACAGAGATGTGGCGTTCGCCCCTCAGGGTCACCATTAGCCCTGTCACTCTGAAGCCTGCACCTCCAACATCCTTGACCAGCAGCTTTGGGATGAGCCTGAATTCTGGACAGCTCGTCCATGGCTCTATGTGGCAAGCATTACGAGCTTGGTTCCTGAGCCAGATCCTTAGGACCAACGGGTTTCTGTTGTCTTTAACCAGCTCTGATGTATGGAGAAGGATATATGGATTTGGTAGAACTGAAGTCAGTTCTGGACTTTTGGTCTTGTCTGTAAAAGAATAGTTTGGTTAGAGCAGAATCCTCTCTCTGACTCCGGAGATCATGGTTATCAGTGTTTGGTTCTCCATTCCTTCTGTCTTAGGAGGAAGTTTGCCCAAAGTAAAGAAAGCATTTCGATGCACCTGCAGTGTGGGCGGTGCTTGCAGTCAAAGTGATTAAGTCTCTGGTGAAGCTTTTGTCAGAGGAAATCTGGATGCCACAGAGTACCTATGATTTTAGGCTCCTCAGGGAGTCAGCAGAAACAGGGTGCCATCCCTTGCACTGCGAAGGAGCTGGCCACCGACAGGCAAGCCTGGGTAGTGTGTTTGGCACAGATGAAGAGGGCAAGCTGTGGCTGGCTTTACCGACACCCTGTCCACCCTGTCTGTCTGCCTGTCTGTCTGTTTCTCCCTGCATAGCCTATGAATGCTACCTCTGCCTTTGGTCCCAACCTACGCTACATTGTCAAGTGGCGACGGAGAGAGACCCGAGAGACTTGGAACAATGTGACAGTGTGGGGTTCTCGCTATGTGGTGGGGCAGACCCCTGTCTACGTACCCTATGAGATCCGAGTCCAGGCTGAAAATGACTTTGGGAAAGGCCCTGAGCCTGACACCGTCATTGGGTACTCGGGAGAAGATTGTGAGTATTGGCCCACCTCCCTCCCTGAACAGGACCCTCACTGTCAAGCTATAGGTGGCCACTCTCATGGGCTGAGAAACTCAAGTATCATGGGAAGGCAACCAGTTCCCAAGAGACAGGGCCACCCTACCATGTCCTGGGCTGTACAGCACCTGGTAACATTCAGGAGGAGAATTATCTTTTGAATACATCCTCCTTAGTCCAGTACACACCCCAGTGCTGGAACTTTACAACTGTAAAACAGGAGAGTCTAGAGACAACCCTTTCAAGGATTCTACAACAGCAAATGTCATGCTTGAGAAAAGAAGCCAGGTCCCCAGGTCCCCAGATCCCCAGACAGGTTGCTTTACTGCCAAGCCTTGCTGGCATCAAGAAAGACTTTAGGACTCCCATTTGAAAAAGCTATTTAGATGCTCCAAGGAATCAGTGCACAGGCTAGGCTCCCATAGCAGGGGAGCCACAGGCAGAGATGTCTGCAGAGCACCAGCTAGAGTCTTTTCTGACCCAACATCTGCCAGCATTCCAACACTGTTCCTGGCCCATGGAATTGAACACAAAATGGGATGTTCTTAGGAAGTCGGCCCTGGGCAAATCAACATTCTAGACCTAGAATGTTGAAAGTGTGAGTCTGGCCTGTGTATCAGCATCAGTGAGTGTGACAGCTTGTGAGCAAAGCAGAGCTTTGGCAGAGTCAATCAGACTCGACTGCTGGGTCTGGGTCTGATCCAAGAAGAGATTAAAGGATTGGTGGGGTGAGCAGAAAGAAGGGACGAGAGCAGATCTTACTAGGAGTGGACACAGTAGGCAAGACTGGGCTCCAGGTGAGGTCTGTGGTCCCATGATGGTGAAGAGGGAAGCCGTGAGGACTGAGTCCCAGAAGCAATGATGGAGTGGGCCCACTGGAAATGAGCAGAGGGACCCCACCTAGTCCAGGAATCTAGGGGGGCTGCCAGTCAGTGAGTGTGACTGCAGGCTTCCCAGATGGCCCCATTGTTTCCATCATATCTGTCCACCCTGGGCTCTGTGCATCTCTGCGGCAGCTTTGCTTTGGTTGCAGTGCAGGGGCCACAGCGAGAGTTCCTTTTCTGAACGAAATTGGGACATCTTCTTTCTACAGATAGTGTTTCTGTTGGTACACTCAGAGTTGATTATTGATAATTTTTTAAGGGTATTCGAGGAAAACCCTAAGGGCTCTGAGCCTTCTGAGAGCTTGCAAGAACTTGTGATTTCCCTTTGAGCTTCAAAGGGGTGGGGGACACATGAGTCACCACCACTTGTGAGCATTGCCCCAGAAGCCGTGACTATGTGTAGGGGATCTGGCAGCGGAGCGAGCGCAGAGCTGCCAACCTGCAGCCCAGCAGAGGAAGCCAGGGGAAGCAATGGCCACTCCCCTTTACTCCACCCTGGCACCCATGTTGGCACCTCCTATGGTCTAAATTCCTCAAGCCTGAGGAAAAAGTACTCAGCTGACAAGGTCCAGAAAGAGCAGTGGGAACAGGTAGAGAAAGTGAAAAGTAAGTTAGATGTTCCCTGTGCTGCCACAAATCGTTGCTCTGGTCACCTGAATTGTCACCCTTTTGTCCTAAGACTTCACTGCTCTCTGGAGTACCCAGTATGCATTAGAGTAGAGATTCAGGCTCAGAACACATCATAGGGGACCCCAGAGTCCAAGAGCCAGCCTTGCCTGTTTAACCAGCTCTCTGTCCCCACACATTGCAGATCCCAGGGCTGCACCCACTGAAGTTAAAATCCGAGTCCTGAACAGCACAGCCATCAGCCTTCAGTGGAACCGAGTCTACTCTGACACGGTCCAGGGCCAGCTCAGAGAGTATCGAGTGAGAAGGCCAGCCCCCAGCCCCACCTAACCACCTTCTTGCTAACCAGGGGAAGGGGTAGCAGCCTTGGTGTGTAGGGGATCTCGAGGGACCCTAGGAGTACTTGTAGAATCTAACGTTGATTCAAGATGATTTCTGGGATTTGAAATTTCCCAGTGGGGAACATATCCATGCATACATATACTTATGTATATTATACATAGGTTCATGTATCACTTAGCAACAGGGATATGTTCTGAGAAATGCATCATTAGCCAACGTTGTCATTGTGCCAGCATTACGGTGCATACTGAGACAAACCTAGCTGGTATAAGTCAATTCCTCAGCATGGCAGCTTGCTGCAATAAACACACACAGCAAGCATTAGATGTGTGAGGCTGTGGCCAGTGTGATGTTGACACTGTTTTACAGGAAGCTGCATTTTCCAAATAGGATAAAAAAGAAAATGTAGGACCTGGGCATAGCTCAGTGGGAGAGGGCTTGCCTAACATTAATGAGGCCTGCACTGCAAAAGCAAAACAGTAACACAGAGTAAGGGAGAGGGCTTGCCCAACATTAATGAGGCCTGCACTGCAAAAGCAAAACAGTAACACAGAGTTAGGGAGAGGGCTTGCACAACATTAATGAGGCCTGCACTGCAAAAGCAAACTAGTAACACAGAGTAAGGGAGAGGGCTTGCCCAACATTAATGAGGCCTGTACTGCAAAAGCAAAACAGTAACACAGAGTAACTATGAAACAGAGGATAATAGTATAAACATGTAACCCAGTAACCTAGTGATGATCAGCACCAAACAGTACAATTGTATTGCTATCGTTTTGTGACTGGTGGCCCAGCAGACCTTTTAACACAGCACCAGCACGACCATACGTGGAATACTTTGTAATATGACGTCATGGTAGCTACAACCATCACTAGGTGAAAGAACCATATGGGGTTGGTCTCTTCCTAACAGGAACATCACACACCTCATGCCTATAGGAACACACGTGATATACTGAAAGATCAAGCTTGGCTAGAACGCCTTAGGAGGGTGCTAGGTTTCAGCCGGTCCTGCAGAGCACACATGTTTGCTATCCATATGTGAACAGACATGTGTATCTTCATGTATATAACTGAAGCACCCCTGAGCTGCACCCTTTCCCTCAGAGGCTCCTGCTGAGCTGTTTGCTTTCCCAACCTGGTTGCAGAAAGTCACACTAACGGGCAAAGCCACCAAAGGGATGTAAGCTGCCTCCCAGTTACCTCAGCCAACTCTGCTACCTGACACAGATTCCAAAGGACCTGATCTCTTGTGCTTTCAACCTGGGAGCAGTTTCTGCCGAGTCACCTGTCCTCAGAGGGCTGGACTGGGGTTGTAGGGAGAGGTGACACAGGACTTTCCCTCAGGAGCTATCTGCATTTCAGTTGGCAGTGAGGGTGATATCACATGGGTTCCCACTGGGTCTGTGAATTCTGAGGTCATCAAGAGTTGGCTGATGGACAGCTGGGGACACACAGAAGGGGGTCAGTCCCTTCTTGGAAAATGAACTTGGCGGAAAACTAAATAAAGGAAGGCCGGGTGCACCTGACCTAGCTCCTCCTCAACAGTTAACTTTTAACCTTTAACCTGCTGGCCCAGAGATTTTTCTTTCTGAAGTACTTACCGGTCTCCATAAGTCTGGATTTCCTCACCACTTGGCTGGTGACGCTGCTGTGACACATGTCCCATGGCTTCCTACCACTGCTAATATGACCTTCACTATACCCTTGACCTCTGCCACCTCCAAGGCAACCCTTCCCGTCCGAGCTCAGCTGCCTGCAGCCCTGTACCCTTACTGACTTGGACCTGTGTCTGCCGTCTGAGAGATCTTCAACGGTATGTGAAGAAATCGCTTGGCTTCCAAGAATTAATTCAACCATTGCTCATATCTCCGACTGTTTGGGACAACCTGCTCCTTGTGTGCCCACCTTCTGTCTCCCTAAACTCTACTAATCCAACTGAAAGCAAAATGGTCATTGAGCACCAGGCACAAAGCTTTCCGCGCCAGGATCCGTGGTTCACATTTATGGTTCTGGCATGGACTCTCTCTGTGCAACATGTTGCCCAGCTGGGACATAGTCTCCAAAGATGTGGTGGCATGGCTCCAAGAATGAGTGAAAATTTTAACCTTGTTTCATATTCACCATTATTCTATTCATGATTGGGACCCTAAGGCTGTCCTGCCCTCCTGAATGGGGAGGATGAGGTCATCTGCGACTGAGAGCAGCCTATAGCAAGCCAAGGGAGGACCAGTCACTACCACCACTAACCACTAACCTGGCCTTGCTGCCTAGCCCCTTACCAACCCACCTCTGTCTCAAAGGCTTACTACTGGAGGGAAAGCAGTTTGTTGAAGAACCTGTGGGTGTCTCAGAAGAGACAGCAGGCTAGCTTCCCTGGTGACCGTCCCCGGGGCGTGGTGGCTCGCCTATTCCCCTACAGTAACTACAAGCTGGAGATGGTTGTGGTCAATGGGAGAGGTGATGGGCCTCGAAGTGAAACCAAGGAATTCACCACCCCGGAAGGAGGTAGGTCTGACCTGCAGCTCGTCAAGGTGGGTTTGGACAAGGGTGGTGCCACCTGGAGCAGCTCCAGCATGGTTTAACATGGACAGCCAGGGTGACCTCAGCAAGTGGATAACCATCACCAAAATCACCCACCCTCATGGAACTTGTTTATCAAGAGATCTGTGCAATGTGTCCATGGCATTCCAGACACAGGCTATGAGACTGACCCCACCACGTCCTCTGAGGAGAAGCCACATGTACGCCTGGCCATTTCAATGTCCTGCTTACCATCACCCAAGACCTGCACGAGCTTTCCCCATAGCATCGAGAAACACTCCTGGGAAGTTGGTCTATGTGTATAGAGTACTGCCAAGTGTCAGCCCGCCCTGCTGTGGGTTTGTGGTTTGATCTAACCCTGGGGTCCAGACATCTACAAAGTTCTATTATCACCTTGGTTCCCCGTTGGCTCTTTTATCCACTTGGCATGAGCTATGCCTTCTCTGTTTCTCCTCCCTCCCTCCTTAACTGTTTTCCTATTTTTCTTCTCTTCCTCCTCTCGCTTCTCCCTTGATCGTCCCTCTTGTCTTCTCTATCCCTGTCTCTCCCTCCTTCCCCAGTTTGGTTCCTATCATTAGTCTCTCCCCATCACCCACCCCGCCCCTTTCAAGCTGCTCTGTCCTGAGTCTCTATCTCCTCCTCGACAGAGCTTGGATTCCCAGCTCAGAAGCTGGGGCCTGCTGCTGCAGCCAGTGGTGAGAGCCCTTGGCTGGGGACTCGGAACTACAACCTTGCCACAAGACAGTCATGATCGGTTCCCTACCTGGGAGTGACTCTATGGTTTAGAGGTATATTTGCAGGATTGAAGCCACCTAATTCATGCCAACTCCAGGGTAGCTGCTAAATGGAGACTCACTTGACTTCTTCCTCCAGTTCAACAGCAGTAGCTGAGCCTGCTTGGCTTTATACTAGGTGAAAGTGGTTGCCAGGCAGGCAGCAGGCTCTGCCCTCAAGGAGCCAGGGCTGGGTTCAGCATTAGTCCAGCACAGGGATACCTAAGGTCATGCCTTCATGCCTGTACTTTGTTTTCTGTGTTCTCATCCTCCCTGCCCTCACCTCCTGGCTCCCTCCTCCTTCCCCAAGTACCCAGTGCCCCTAGGCGTTTCAGAGTCCGACAGCCCAACCTGGAGACCATCAACCTGGAGTGGGACCACCCAGAGCACCCCAACGGAATCCTGATTGGATACACTCTCAGATACGTGCCCTGTATGTTCTGTTTTTCTGCTCTCTCTAAATCAGAAACAATCACAAACTGTTTCCCACTATTTTCTTGACGGGTGGAGATTGGAAGCCTGTGTATACAGAGGGCATTGCATAGGAATGAGAGAGCTAAGGAGAGCTCCCCATAACTAAGGGAGCAGGCAGGACCCAGTCCCTGCCCTTCTTACACAGCCTCACCTGCAGGGGGCAGCAAAGGGTAGTCTAATGAGGGTGACTATCCCAGCCCCCCCTGGGAGCTGGTAGTCTCCAGCACCTACAAGTCTAAGCAGGAGTGTTCCTCTCCCATTGGCCCTTCTATCTGATGGGCAATCAGTGTGTGTGCAGGCATCTAAGGACGCTCAGGAGTCTCCAGGCAGGAACAGGGATGTCACTGCACTTCAAAAATGTTAAGACCTCTAGTGTAGACAGTGCTGTCCCTCCCTGGGAAGTTCAAAGGGCCAGTGATGTGTTATTGACACTTTAGCAGTCAACAATGTGCCCTCCATGCTGCTCTGAATTGATCTCTGGACCTGACCATTCCCCTCCTGTATTGAAGAAGGTGGTCTTTTATAAAAGAGGCAAAAGCAATCGAGGCCCTGGGGAATTTCCCCGGTTCTGTTTGGACAGAAGAAAAGAATTCAAAAGATTTGACCTTGACAGAAGACTGGGGAAGTGTGAAATGAGCTTTTAGAAATGGCCATGTGACTTTTCAGAAGCTAGAAACGCTGGGCTCAGTGACAAATGTGAACCCTGAGGTACACTGGGACTTCCTCAGTACTTCTAATGGGCGGTCCCAATGGAAGGGATTTGTGCCCAATGCTCACCCCTTAAACCAAGTCTTGAATATTGCTAGGCCACATTCCCCTTCCAGAAACTCCGGAAGCTGCCCTATAACTCATGCAGGGACTCAACCTCCCACTTGCCTCTCTCCCCAGTTAATGGAACCAAACTGGGAAAGCAGATGGTGGAAAACTTCTCTCCCAATCAGACCAAGTTCTCGGTGCAGAGAGCAGACCCCGTGTCACGTTACCGATTCTCCCTCAGTGCCAGGACACAGGTGGGCTCTGGAGAAGCAGCCACAGAGGAGTCCCCAGCACCTCCAAATGAAGGTAGGTCCTCGGTGGCCATCTTTGGAGTAAAAGGCCCTAGCTAATCTGGACACGTAGAGAAGCACACCAGAAACATACTGGGTTTGGCCTTCCAGGGTGGAAAGGAAGTGAGGCCACAAGTCCTCAGCCCCATGGTGGGAGATAGCCTGTCTTGGGTGATGAGAGATGTCAGTAATGTATCAGGAACGTCATCACTCTTAGATGTACAGGCAGACTGGTCTCCCACTTTGCCTTGACTTGCTCAGCTATCAGCTGTCCGTCCTTGTATGGGGATAAGGAAGGACATGTGAGATGAGAGGCAATCAAGGGGACATGAGAAATAACCATCCTGATGAACCCCAAAGAATCAAATTGCTCATCTATCAAGGGAGGCAAGAATATCACTGAGAATCCTAAGAACTCTGGGAACATCCTGTCTTTTGCCAAGGGCATATAGAGCCAAGGAGATAAGGCAAAGTACTTGCCTGGATCAAGAGCAGAGCAGGAAATATGCTCTCCCTTTGCAGCATGAATAAGATGAGGTATCTGGTTGCAGAGATGTGGGAGCTGGGAACAACTCTGTGCCAAGCCAGCTTCACAAGGAGCAAGTGAACTCAGCCAAGGCCAGTCTCAACCACTAAGATCCCAAACCAGAGCTGCGCCTGACTTGAGTGTACACTAGAGGGCACTCTTGGCTCATTTGCATGCATTGCTGGTTTCAATGTAACCTCCCAAAAAAGGTATTGGACTGCAAAAGCCTCAACACTGGCAGCGCCTTATAAATGGGGAGAACCCTCTACCTCTCCAGAGATACAATAGTCTGTGCAACAGCCATTTTTTGAGGTCCTACCCACATGTACCAAGCCAGATACTGCTCCAGAACAAGGGACATAAAGATAATAGGAAGTTCACAATGTCTAAAGACAGCCTCAAGAATGTCTCCTTGTCTTTCTGCCCGAATGAGGGTGCTGCCAAGGGCAAGAAGTTTGGGGAGATTGAATAAGAAAGGGGATATCAAAAAAGAGGCGATCTGAACAGGTATCCCTGGGACTATCCCATGATCGTGACTAGTGACTGCCTCCCACGAGTTCCTGTGGTCTGATCCAGATGGGCTCTTCTGAGCATTTTTATCCTCTGTCCCAGGAGACCACTGTGCATCCTAGGGGGACTGCCAGACCCTGCTGCCTCCACTCAGTATTCTTGTACAGCTGCAGCAGCAGTCAGCGAAGGACCGCTGGTCCCCTGTGTTCCTCTCTGGTCTCCTAGACCAGGAGTAATCACACAACAAACTCCCAATCCTGGTGTCCTCTTCCAACACCTGGACGTCCAGGAAGTTGATTAAGACTGGTGGGATCTGTTACCAGAGACTTTCAGGCTATGATACTCTTTCTGTACTTCTAGAGATGTCCAGAAAGCCTCCCTTCCTGGCACAGGACAGCAGACAAAGCCCCTTTGTCCAACCCCAGTGGCCATGATGGGGGAATTCCTGCAACCCCAGGGGACAAGAGAACAGAGATGGTTTTAGATTTGTGGGAAATTTCAGAGATTTATTCTAGTGCTCTCTATCATATTTGTGTTCCTACTTTCATGAAGTACAATTAATGGGGGGAAACTGAGGCAGCAGACAACCAGGTCAGGTGCTTTCAGAGCCCCAGGGCCTTCAGCATCATTGTACTTTGAAAGTATGAGTTGGGGACGATCCCTCATCCACTACTTCCCAGCATCTTGAAGGGACCCTTTTTGCCTAGAGTTGGTTGCTCTGGCACTACCTACATCGACATCCTGGCATCTTAGAGGGTCACAACCCAGATAGGACAGGACTAATCCTTGAGGGAAAAGAAGCTGAAATATGACATTTTGCCTGAACTGTGCCTACAGACACCTCTTATATGGCAAGCCCTTGAACATGGGTAGAAACGTAATGTGTTAGAAAGGTTTCTAAGCCCCAAGTGGAATAATGGGAACCCACCTGAATCCAGTGGGGTTGAGCATGACTCCCTGAACACCACTTAGCATCCTCAGGGTTGCATCTAGCACCTGGCCATACCCCTGGAGTTAGGCTTGAACCAGACCCTTTCTGCTCTCCTCTGTGGTCTCACCTATGCTGTTTTCTCTTCCCTCTCATCCTCTCTCCCTCTCTCTGGCCATCTTGGGTGCTGTGTCTGAAGCTACTCCAACTGCAGGTATTGTACCATCAACAGAGGTAACGGGCATGGCACGGGGCAGTGCAGATGGAGCCCAGGCTGGCCAGAGCCCAGCAAGAGAAAGTGATTCTGGCTGAAAGCATGCTCCAGGCTCACCCTTTCAGTGGAGAAGCCAAACTTGAAAGGAAGGTGTATAGAGAGCGTTGACTAGAAAATGCGAGCGTGCTCTCTCCTTTCCCATAATGCTTGTCCCCGCTAAGGAGGCTGGCTCGGAAGGGGTCTCACATGCAGAACCCTCTGAAGCCAAGAGAAAACCTATTGTGGCCACCTGAGCCTTACTGGACCTGACATCTCTGATCATAGAGATGACTCTAGGAACAGCTGGCTCCTAGCCCTGGTGACATCACAATCCCCTGAAAGGGTGAGCACACTGTGCATGCTGGCCTTTGCATGCTGCATGGGGGGACCCAGCGCCATTCTACCAGCTAGCATATATTCCAGTCAGTGAGAATAAGCAAGCACGTCTATGAGTAAGACCAGGGCTCCAGGGCCTGGAGCCTCAATGTGTGTCGGGGATTGATGGTCTTGACACCCCCACACACACTCTGGGAACTCAGCTCCTCAGTATTCAGTATGGAGATAGACTTCCTCCTTTGTGGGTCAGGAGCTGGGCAGATGGGTCTGTGTCAAAAGCCAATCTGGTAACAACTTTCCCCTTCGGTCCTCATATTGTTGGTTTGAGGGCCATCAAAACTCTACCAAGGGCTGCTGTACTCAAGCCAGAGAAACTAGGCAAGAGCTGCCCAGGGTTCCTTTCCTAGTCCTCTGAGCTTGAATTTTCCCATGAGTTAGGAGCCGAGGGCAGAATGTCCTGGGCATTACAAAGGCTGGAAGCCAGGGTACCTTAGAGCCTGCATAAAGAAACAAGCTTTGTTAAGATGCACCTTTAGGTGAGAAAATCAAGAGCCAGGCAGGAATCTGAGCTTGCCCTGTATTTCCCAGCTCACTTGGTTTGCTTCCTACCAACGCCCATTTGTTTCTGCCCACTGCTTCCTACGTTGATTCTACTTCTGTTGCATATCTTCCTTATGGTTTCATGTTTTGCCAGCTAGATCTGTCAGTAATAAGAAACCACCATGCTTCCTTACCTCAGCCCTCCTCCTCCTACCCAGTAACCAGGCCAGCCAGCTAAGTCAGTGCTATCCCCACAAGCCCTCCTCCAGGATGTGAGACACAGTTGTCCAAGGCCTGAGGACCACAGAGCAGACAATTCTGGCCATGCTAGAGGGAGGGTCTTCCTGGCTCACGTGTGAGTCTCTTCCACAGTGGAGACAACAGGTACTTGGGGTGAGTCCACTTAAAGCTCATTCATTGGTCAAGCATCTTCCCGTCTCTCACCTCATTGGGCACTCTAGCCCCAGTGTAGAGGATCCAGCAGCGAGAAGTCTGCCGCGTTCAGAGGGCAGTCTGTGCAGTCCTCCTATGAGCTGTAGTTGCAAGAAGTGTTATTCCAACTCCTCCTCCATGTCCTCCTTCCAATTTTAAAAGATCTAAACTCAGCATGCCGTGCAGAATGGGCCCAGGGTCTCTACTGTCAATCAAGTGTGTTTCCCAGGCACCAACTTCCACATGACACCCCGGGAAGGGCAGATTGTACTTTTTGGTAACTGAGACATGCCAGTTATATCAGATGTTGTCAGTATTGCATGCACAACACCTTCTGGAGACGGGAGAGCTTGGGTCTATTCAAAGGGAGCAGTGTCCAACCCTCTATCCTCTTCCTTCTCATCCTTACCAAACCTCACCACTTCCCCCCAAATTGATCAGTTCTTCTATCGCCCAGTGAAGATAATCCCTCTCGTCCACCTGTATCTTCAGTCTGCTAGGATTGCTTCCCATCTGTCTAACAATCTGCGACTTGGCTGGGGTAGTCTTCGTGCCATGTGGACAATCTTGGACTGAACATTCCATCTTGGAATGCCTGGAAGCTGTTCTTGTCTTTGACTCAGCTCAGAGCTGCAAATGTTGGGTGGGTAGCTGGTAGAAGCTCAGCGCTGTGGCAGGTTTAGGACGATGAGAAAATGAGCAAGATGTGTCATCTCTCCATCTCTACACAGGGCTCCCCCAAATGCTCAAGTCCTTAGCTGTGCGTCTTCCTTGGGGACCGAGACAGTCTATAGGGTTGGCCTTCTCTATATTGGCAGACTCCCAGCTTCCAGATCTAGCCTTCCCTAAACCATTTTCCATACTGGACATTTATGGCTCTCTCTAGGTTGCTGGCCAGCTATGATCACCAATCAGTACCAGCCAGGGCTTTTTCCAAACTCATAGTTCCTGCTGTGGCTGGATAACAACTTCTAGCCCAGGAATGTATCTACCTAACCTGTGACCCCCCACCCCCCACCTCTGTTAATGCCAACCCCGTTTTAGGGCTCACCAGTCTTCAATTCTCTCCCCAACTCAGTCCCAGGTTGAAATGCCATGACAGGCCTTGTGAATAGCGCATGCCCTTCCTGCCTATCTGTCCCAGGCTTTGGATGGTTCTCTCTCCGGCTGTGGTGCCTTTCATCTTTGCCCTTCCTGTCTCCTGTGGTCCTCCAGCCTGGGGATACTAGACACAGCAGTGAGTGGGTCAAGGATGTGCTGAGTCACCAGCTGTGCCCTCTGGAGGTCTACTCTTTATGGAACTTCATGGGGACACCCCTGGGGGCTTCCAGTAGCTCCCACCCTCTCTCCCCATTTCTCCTTTTTGCTTATACCCTGGAGTTTTACAGAGCCCAAGGGGGAAGAACCCAGGAGCTATCACCACAGAGAATGCCTTCCTTTATTCTTGTTAGGTGCGGCTGTCAGAGGAGGGGGTATGGCTGGAAGCGTCCACATGGTCACTTCTCGCCCTTGTCTTCAAGCTGCTGAACAAAGTTCAAAACCTAGTCTAACCTCTCAGCATTTCCGTCCCCAGGGCATTTGCTGAAGTGCCCTGGAAAGCATGTGATACAAGAGGGGCTAAGGGAGATATGAGTGTGTCCCTGTATGTTAAAGGGCCAGTGGTCACAGGAAAGCACTGAGAAAAACGGACTTGGACTCATGGGCCCTGGAAAATGTACAGCTCCTGTACCTGAAAGAAAGGAAACCCAGGTTCCTGGCTACATGACAGGGTGGGGCTATGACTCAAGTTACAAGAGTATTTTCTTGTTATACCGTTTAAATAATCAGAGAAAAGAGGACCTTGTGAACCTATCATCCTCCAGAAGGTACTAGAAAATACATTATTCATAAGGAATTAAGTAAGAACTGTCTTGTCCAGAGGGACAAAACCTCTTCCTACGTCTCACTTGTGGTTATGGTCATGGTGGCTTATAGACCCAGCCCCGAGACAGCTAATCTTCACCTTATAGACGCTCTGCTTTTCTGCTTGTGAACTTATGCTTCCACAGCCGTGTTGGTGGGTGGGATAAGCCAATCCCTTCATGCTGAGTGCTAAGAGCACTGAACTGACTCTCTGGCCTAGGGCTACCTTAGGTTTGAGCCCTGGAAAAACAATGACAGGAAGGCTTCACTCCTGTTCGCTGCCCCACCCTACCAGGTCCTTCTGGTACCTTCTTGATGCCTGAAAGTTGACTGGGGTTTGGGAAATACATTGTTATTGACTTTGGACCTCCCTTGGATTCTCTAAGACACAGTGGATTCATCTAGCCCCACACTTAGGGCTCAGTAATAGCTCTGCTTTAACAGGTAGGGAAGCTTCAGAGACCTTGGAAATTTGCCCTTCTTCTCTATAGGGCTTATAACATCAGAGGCCCATGGAAGTAAAATAAGTCACATTCTGGTTGAAACGTCTTAGGCTTAGGAGCCTGATTCTCCTGGGGAAAGTTCTCTGGCTTCCATCCCTGGCCTTGCCCTTTTCTGTGAGGATGGGAGATATTTTTCAGGGTCTCAGGAGATTAAAGACAGAGTGGCATGTCACTATTTCTCCGAAGTTACGGTTACTGTTTTTGTCTAAGTCTCTGCCTGCTGCCAACACCAGAGGGTAGACAGTGGTCAGATCATTAGCAGAGATGTGGCAAGAGAGACCGCTCTGTTCTCTCTCGTTTGCCTGGTCATCCTCACGCTATTAGTCCCAACAAAGACTGACCTGGAGAACAAGGAGAAGACCCTCAGTAGCTTCCCTGTCCGTTCAAGAGAAGAAGAACACTATGAAAAGGTGGCCACATTTGTGGACTAGCCCCCAGGGCCAACTAATGTGAAGAGTCCGCTTTAGATGGAGGTGGAGCATGAGCAAGTCAGCCCAGATAAGCCTGGCTGAGCCCTGGTGGAGATTTCCACACAGAGGAAAGCCTGGCACTCAGCTCCTTTGTCCTGCAATGTGTGTGCCTTTGAGTGACTGGGAGACTAAGGTTGCCCATCACAGGCTGGACTGTCATCCATTCTAGGTTCAAATATGAACAGGAAGGACTTAGGGTCTGTGGACCCTAAGTATCCTAGACAGAAAGGCAAGAAGTTTGGGTTGGGGATGGGGGGACAAGCCACCAGTAGGCAAAGAAGGGAAAGGTGGAGAAGGGGGACAGAAACCACAGAGATGATGGGAGGAGGGGGCTTTAAGGTGAAGAACTGGGAGTGGTTGTCTGCTCTGAGTTCCTGGAGGACAGAGCCCAGCCTCCTGCCCACCGTTCCTCTGAGCCAAGGTTCAATGGCCACACCCACTTGGTATTTCTAAGACTTTGTAGGCAGTATGTGGCCCACGGTTTGTGCCATCCCTGGAGTTCAAATGGTTCAGTGTGTGTGTCCTTTGACCACTATCCTGGTGCCTGGTTGAATGCATGCTGGGTGCTTCAAGCTACACAGACCATGAGAAGAAAATGAAACACACAGCAGCTTCATTCTCTTCCTCTCCCATGGCTGTATGTTGGTTGCTGGGGTCCCGCTGGACCAGTGCGGATGCTTGGGGGAAGCTTCTGACTTCTGAGCCCATCTTGCCACTGGGCTGCCTGCCTTGCACGTGGGGCCGGATGTGCTAGCTGTGTGCTACCAGACCAACCAGACTCGGTTGTTTCACACTTCCCTCTTAGCTCCTCCCACGTTGCCCCCGACTACCGTGGGTACCACAGGCCTTGTGAGCAGCACTGATGCTACTGCCCTTGCTGCCACCAGTGAAGCCACAACAGTTCCCATCATCCCAACCGTCGTACCTACCACCGTCGCCACCACCATTGCCACAACTACTACAACCACTGCTGCTGCCACCACCACCACTACGGAGAGTCCTCCCACTACCACCATTGGGACTAAGATTCACGAAACCGGTATTGTGTGCTGCCCATGCTCCTGGCCCCTCCGAGCCCACCTCCCAGCTTCTCCAGACAAACCCAGACTTCCCTGGCTGAGTGATGAGCTTTGGAGTGGCGTTCACCAGCCCCGCCATGCTTTACTTTGCAACCTAGGCCCAGAGTCCCTGTCCTGAGCACACACGGGTGGTCACTTACCACCCAGCACTCTTAATGCTAATCAGATCTTCTACAGGGCACCAGGTTTCTCAGAGAGAATCCCAAGCATATGCCACGTAGTCAGCCAGGAATGGGTCCTCAGGAAGCCAAGTCGTGAGAGGGGAAGGTTCTAATGGCTGTGTGCCTGGCCAGGAGAGTTGCTGACTACACCATGTCTGTCCACTTCTAGGGACAGAGGCCAGGAGGAGCAGGGAGTGGCTGCTGTGCCATGTGGTTCTGGCTCTGGAACCCCTGTCCCTTCCTTGTACCCCTGTCCCCAAGGACTCTTTGCAGGTATTTCTTTTTAAAAGTTAGAGCATGCAGGAAATGGTGCTCCCAGGTCATGCCATAATACCTGACAAGGGTTCATTGCTTTTCTTTCATTCCTAAAATACATACCTGGAGGAAAAACTGCAAGAGTTCTAGGGATGGCCTTTAGGGCCGCTGTGCCCCACAGCCCTGCTCTTTGAGCATGAAAAGAATCCAACCATTCCTGAATCCTAAGCATCATCCTTGTATTATCATAGAGTAGAGGGTCTCTAACTTCCTGAGCCCAGGGGGCAGCTATAAAAAATAGCATGAAGCAGCCGGAAAGACATCCAGGAAATACCCAGAATGCTCCATTCCTGGAGACTCATTAGACACCCGCGGCCTCCACAGCATTTGCTTCTTGAGCTAGTCCCTCCCACTTCCTAGCCTCACTGCCTCCCACCCACCTGCCTATTAGCTTCTGAATGTAGGTGGAGGCTGAACAGTCCTGTTAGTATTTGCTCAATTATGTGGTGTCAAGTGAGCTGAAAGCAGAGGCGGGTGAGTCACAGCTGAGCCCCTCAGCCCTCTGAAAGGCTGATTTACTTTAGAGGTGTAAAATTGGAATGTAAACATGGAGGTTAGGGGCAAAGTCAACTCAGGTGAGGCCTACTACACAATCAAATGCTGCTGTCACTGGCTTGGGAGGTCACTGTCCTCTGGGGCATTTTCACCAGAGCAGGTCTTTTTGAATGCTTAACGTGCTTCAATTCACAGAGCCAAGAATCCTGAAATAGCTAATCTTGCTCCCTGGTAGTTCCTGACCTAGAAACTTCATTCTTACACCAGGCAGGACTGACCCCATGACTCACAGCCCAGGTGTAGACCTTGTCTGAAGCTGCAGAGGGCCTGGCTTCAGCCCCAGTCTTATGGAGAGCTTGGGGACAACTGTGAAGTATCTCAGCCTCCAGGGAATCTTTTGAATGAAATTTCATCTTCATCTTGTCTTCTATCATAGCATAAAATGTTTAATAACTTTTCCTTTTGCAGGGTATCCTTTGTGTCAGTTTTTAGATTTGGGTGCTGCTCCCTAGCTCTTATGAGCCAGTGGAACAATGTATGCTAATCACAGCCTCCTTCTGACTTCACAGTCCCTTATAGTTCACCTTCTGGGCCCTTCCCTTTCGAACACCCCAGTCCTTTAGCAGTCATCGTCCTGACCCTTCCATATGGTTCCCACCTCACAATCATCTTGGTCTCCCATTGTTCCGGTTTTTCTTTCCTCTGTGTTTATAATGTGTGTGCGCATGTTAGCATGTGTGAGTACAGGTACATACATGACGATCAGACATGACCTAGCGTTGGTGCTAGCTTTCCAACTGGATTTGAGACGGACTCTCGTGGTTTGCTGCTGTGCACAACTGGGCATGCAAGCTTCACATTCGTCTTCTTTCAGTCTCCGGTCTCCTGGTCTGCAGTAACAGATCCTGTGTTTCTGTATTCAGCTTCTTTTGGGTTTTGGGGATCCTAACTTGGTTTGACAGGCTTGCTCGACAAGCGTTTCCATCACTGCCACGGCTCCAGCCTCTGCTTGGCCTTTCCTAAGAGCACCCTGAACCTCATTGCCTTTGAGGGCGTCAGATCTGGTTCAATATTACCTTGGGAATCAAACCATTTAGTGTAGCTGCAAATGCTATTGTACGAGTCCTGGAGCAAGAAAGACCTTGAAAGTGGGGCCAGTCAACTTCATTACTAATGCAAGCGCCTCGAACTTCCAGGAAGAGGGAATCAGGAGAGGAGCCAGTGTGATCAAAATGGAGCAGAAAAGAAGTCTGTCTCCCTCCCTCTAAGGCACAGGCCTTCTGCTGCCATTAGTGAAGCCTTTCTAGGGCCCCTCACTTGACACACACTGTGTTCACCTGGGGCAACCGACACCTGACAGGATTACAGTAGGGAAAAAACACTTCTTTGAAGTGAAAATCAGAAAATCTTTTATCACTTCCCCCAGCCCCATGGCAGATAGGTAATGAATAAATGCACCGTCAATACACTCTATTCATTTATGTTTGACAACTGAGTTGGTGACAGTGCCCCCTTGCATTCTAATTAAATATACAGGAGCCACGCTTGTAAAGCCTTTGAACTACAAGCATCCCGGCTAGTCCTCTGCTGCTAAATCTTTTCTGGGAAATGTGGTAATCAGGCTTCTGGGACTCTTGCATTGGAAGGCTGCTGCCATTCTCCTGAATACGGGGCTATAGTTTCAGACAGCTCTGTGGCTTTGATAAAGTAGTTCCCAGCCCCCAGGAGCTTGATAATTAATGTCCTCTTTGTTACGGGGAGATCAAGCCTCAGTGGCTCTATGGCTGGGAAGCCAACAGGCAGGGTTCTAGTATAGAGAACACTGAGGATTGAATAGCAAGGAAAGCTCATCTTTTGGTCCCACCTGGCTTGTGAGGGATGCCAACTCTGACTCTACTAGGGACCCTGACATTCTAGGCCACACAGTACAGGCCATCCAATCCTTCATTGATCAGAGGGCCTCAGATCCAAGTCACCTGCCTGGTTGAGTATCCTCTAGCTTCAGGAAGCCAGGAGAGTTTGCCTGTATTTAGTCCCCATCGTTACTGCTAATCATTCTTCCATGAGTTTTGACGGTGCTGGGTGTGGAACCCACATGCTCGGTGAGCACACTGCTACTGAGCCACACCCCATGGCGCATCTGTTTGATTTTCAAAAGCAACTGCTCTCCTTCAGGTTGGAGACGAAAAGCCCCCTCTCCCTGTCTGCTGGCATCCTGACCACAGGGCCTGTTTCTTTGCCCTTTTCCTTACACCGTTTCAGTCTCTGGCAAGGATTCCAAAATGGGAATAAGTGGAATGACCGGAAGCCTACTCTTGTTCCTATCTTGTGAGGCATGAGAGACAGCTTCCGGATCCCCTTCACAAGCAGACAGGTCCTCTTGCTGCTCCCGCTCAGCCCTGGGTAGCTAGCGACCCTTGGCCTGGCTATCAAGACTGCAACCTGTAGCTCTATTGGGCTCCGTGCACAGCCTTTCCTGACTCCTCCCCTTCCCAGCAGACTCTGGGCGTAAGAGTATGCATGGATATGGATGTGCCTCTCTGAGTCTCCTATCCCACCTCTGTCCTCACCACTAACTCCTCTTCTAGCCCGTCCGCCAGCCCCCGATGAGCAGTCCATTTGGAACGTCACGGTGCTCCCCAACAGTAAATGGGCCAACATCACCTGGAAGCACAATTTCAGGCCTGGAACTGACTTTGTGGTTGAGTACATCGACAGTAAGCATTGCTATGTGGGGTGGGGGTGGCGGCAGTGTCGTAGTGCTGGTGGATAGTGGTAGATGCCCATTAAGGAGATCCTGTTGAACTCCCTCAGGCTTAGAAGCCTTTTAGCCTGGCTTCATTTTAGCCTCATGAAATCGATCCCTACCAGAGATAGTGGAGGTGGAAGGAACAACCTTGAACAGGGAGGGACCTCTGAAGCCATTAGCAAAAGCCTTGTGTTGCACATGTTGTGGAGGAACTATGGACTGTGACCTGTGTCCACTCCTACCCAGAATATGGATGCTGAGTATCCTAACATGAGCCCGATCTCGTTTCTGTGTTGATCTGACCGAGACCCAGGGTGTTCTGATGGCTCATTGTATTGTCCAGGCCACAGACCTGAGCTGCAGACACCCTCAGTTCACAGCGTAGTGGAAAGCAACAGTCGCAGACCAGATAGCCAGTGGTTCATCGTGTCCCATGCACTCTATCAGAGCTTGGGATCAAAAACCTGAATGGACTGCAGAACATGTTCCAAACATCTGCCTTCTCTAAGGCAGGGCCCTTGGTCCTGTAGAGTGAAGCCCGTATCTTTCCACATGGACAAGTGCAATGAAGCCAATACACCAGCCGGAAAACACAGCTGGGTTATTCCTTCCCCCAAGAACTCTTAGAGATGAAAACCTGGTGCTAGGTTCTGTGGTCAGAGGAGGGCTTTAGAGCCTCAGGATCTGGAGTCTCTATTTAGGTCAGGGTGTTTTCAAGCTTCTTGCCACCACCATTCCCTCCCACAACCCTGAGGTGTGGATACTTTGTCTGATATGCCAATTTGCAATACGGCAAACAGTCCGAGAAGAACCCAAGAGTGGAGCGAAAGCCAAGGATGCTGTCTCACTTCCATGTGAGATACTAACCATGTGGCATACTAACCAGCATGCTGGCCCTCCCAGAAAGCTCACACTCAGAAAGTGAATCACGTCCAGTGCAGCTGACACGCTTCAAGGCCGAGACAGCCAATCTTGATACACTTAGTACTAAGACCGTGCGTGGTGAGGAAGGAAGACTTCAGGGGGAAGCATCATGTAAGAGTTAGAGCTGCATGCTGGGCGCTGGGAAGCTGCCTGTTCTGTGTGGTGGACTGGACCTGGGGTGCCTTAGCCCTGTTTCCGCACCTCTCTGCTTCTGACAGATAAACAGGGACCTAAGCACTCTCTCCAGCTCCTGGTGCCTGGTTGTAAGCTGACCTAGGTTTCTGTTCCCCAGGCAACCATACGAAAAAAACTGTCCCTGTTAAGGCCCAGGCTCAGCCTATACAGCTGACAGACCTCTTTCCCGGGATGACGTACACGTTGCGGGTGTATTCCCGGGACAACGAGGGCATCAGCAGTACCGTCATCACCTTTATGACCAGTACAGGTGAGAGGGGATCTGGCCTTGCCATCCCCTGCAAGCATGGGCATCTCATCCTCATCCCCAGCTTCCTGCTTGTCTCTTCTTGGAAGCAGGTCTCATCTCCACCCCATTCCTTGCCTTGCATGGTGCGTCTCCAACCTAAAGGAAGTCAGAAGCAGTCAGGTGTGCATGCCCAGTGGAGAGCAAGCCAGGATCTGAGCCAGGGGGCTGAGTGTGGGATCAGAGGGAACAAAAGACTGCATAATGAGGACAGGGACTGCTTAGTCCCCTCCACCATGTGTGGAACAAAAGGGCTCAGTGCATGCACAAACTTGCTGGGGGGAGGGGACTGCTGGAGAGTTGTGCGCTGTGCCCCCACTGTTTGGGAGCTTGCTTTCTCCATGTATAATGAGGGGAAGAGGCCAACCCAGGATCTTGATTCAGAAATCTCCTAACTAAACCTGGGATCAGCGTGTATGTTGTTGCCATGACAACAGTGTTTTGCTCTTATTTAATTTCACGCCCAGTTTGTCCTGCCTAATAGTAAGTGGTCTGGGCTGTTGTGTTTTGTTTTGTTTTGTTGTTTTTTAATCATGCTAGAGGTAGGACAGCAGTCTGGCTCAGTAGCAGCTTCAGCCTGGTTAGAGAGGCATCTTCCTTATATCGAATGGCTAGGTTGCCTAGGGCTAGAGAGAGACCAGGTTTAGAATTTTCTCTGCTGGTGGGGGTAGCCGGGAATCTGAAAACCACAGAGGCCCTTGCTTGTCTGTGAGTGTTTGGGTTTGGGTACATCTTTCAAATCAGACAGACATAGCCAAGTGGCCTGTAGTCTAAGCCCTGGGGCTAAGGGAAGGTGGGGAAAAGGATTAAGAGAGAAAAGGATCAGCAGTCCCTCTAGGGATGGTCTGGTCAGACGCGGGTTATTAGATGCACAGGAGGGGGGGGGGAACCCCACAATGATTTATCTGAATTTCTAAATGTTGACTTGAATATTCATTACTGTTCCCTCGCCAAGCCACAGGAGCCCGATGCTGGTAGTCTGTATCTAGGGAGTCACTGTCCATCTGTATCCCTGACGTCCTAGCCCTCTAGCCTGGTCCATCTTGATACGTCTCCCTAGTGTGCTTCTGCCATTCCCACCCATTTCTAGACCACAAAATTTGAATGTACAGCTCCTTGCTTAAAATGAGCCAGGCCCACTCAGACAGGATGTCTGAGCAGGCCACCAGGCCATCGTGTTCTGTGAGAAGCCATGCATCTGGGCAACTGACCAAGCAGAACAGGTAGCTGGACTCTGACCTGGTTGGGAATCCCAAACTTTTGGATATACTTGATTTGTTTCTTTACAAACTTGAGTCTAGCTCACGGGCAAGAAACAAAGATGACTCCCAAGGGTAGAACTTCATCCTAGAGATGCTGGGAAACCCAGCACTGTCTGTTTTCAGAGCTTTGCCCCACTTGGTGCTGTGGATAAGACCTGGAGAGAAAGTCAGAAAGAAAAGGGCCAGACCTTGCCTTTATGGTTGACCTAATCTGTTTCAAGTATAAAGCATGCAGTATGGGGGGCAGGCAGTAATAATGACTGCTGTCACTTGGTTCTGAATGTCATCTTCGATACCTATTTTTCTTTCTCTGTGCTGGATCTAGAGAGGCCCAGTCTGCTTGCCAGCCTTAAGGACCACAGAAGCATATAGCATTAACAAGTTTCCCCAGACCCCTTCTCGGGTGAGCTGGAACATCTGGGCTCAGTAACTTGTTTCTGAGTTCAGGTTATTTGCTTCCTCTTAGGTCAGCTGGAAACTCCTATGTACAGTTCACACAGAGGGAAAGAAATATTTTCACCCTCTGAAGTCTGTGTGTCCTTGTAAATATGTGTCAAAAGCAATTTCCTGTAGGTGGACTCCAGAGGCAAGCCCACACAAACACCCAGATCTCTGTGTTTTCACCGAAGCAAAGCTTTTGTGAGCACATCTGGGGGCCGACCACAGGTCCTTTAGCCAACCGCAGGCTATCACTTTAGCCCAAAGGTGACATGCTCAGTGATTCAGGAAGGAAGGAGAAGGGACTTCTGGGAATGCTAACAGGCTTTCTAACCCTCACCAGAAAGATCCCACTGGGAACTTAATCACCCCTTATTAAAGCTTCTGAAGCCAGAAACCTGACAGGCTACAGATATATGACCCTAGATCCTAACTGGCCTACCCATGCTTCACTGCTGGAATGAGGGGCTGGCAGAAGCAGAGATCAAGCAGCAGGCTGCTCAGAGCTCAGGGAGGTCAGAGGGATTGCAGGATGAGACAGGGTGTGCACGGAGAAGGGTGACGTACTTAAGGGAGAGCAGCCACATTGTGTTGAAGAAAGTTCATCGCTGTTAGATTATTTGTTCATCCATTTCTAGGATAACCTTCAAATGATGTTGTCTATAGCCAAACCAGATTCTTCCAGCCAGGCTTGGGAGCTGGATGAACTGTCTGGTTAGCAAATGAATTTCATAAGTTTTTTTTTTTTAAAAATAGGTCAGAGGGTGTGGTTGGATGAACTTTTCCAGAGATGTAAAATTAACATCTGCCCCAAATTGGAATTGGCGCCAAAGCCCCTAGAATAACTCATTCATGTTTTGAGTTTGAATAAAATGAGGTTGTCAGTGATCATTGGAAGAATGGCAGACAACTTCGGACAGATCCATTTTATCCAAGTTGCCAGCTACCTCTATGACCAAGCCTAACACTTGATAAGACTCGGAGTGTGCAGCAGGATTGATGCAAATGTGGTCTCAGTACTACCCAGGGTTAAGGCAGTAGAGGTATCTACAGGCCCAGATGACATAAGGCACAGACAGAACCAGACTGAGGAAGTTGTTTTTCGGCATGCTCCATCTTGATCTCAAAACACATTGCCTGGTCATAGGAAGGCTGGCTTGTTGTGTGGCAGTCTGGTATATAGAGTAATTAGGTGGAAGCGTGCTATAAGACAGAGTTACTCTGGCTGGGATTGGGAAGAATACCTTTGCTTCAGGTATGGCTTAGACAGCTTGAACAAGAATGCTTCTAGACCAGAACAAGAGGTGTTGGGACCTGTGCTTGCCAAGCCCAAGGCAGGACAAGAACAGCTCCTGTCATTTCCAGTTGGAGGTGGGGAGTATAAATGGCGTCTCTGCCGTCTTTGAAGGCTATAGTGTTAGACCCTCAGCGTCAGTTTAGCAGATCAGTTGAGTGTGGCATTGGTGGTCAAGTGTAATTACCCTGGAGCTTTGTGAAAATGACTTCCTCTCAGCCTAAGCTGAGATCATTCTATCGTTCTCTTGTTGAGAAACTCACTCACTCTATAGGAAGGTGGAGTCAGTTGATCTCACTTGGCTTTGTGTTTGAAGTTCACAAGAATCTTTATTTCTTACCCCCCACCCCCGCCAATCAAATCTGAAACTACATTTCAACCTTGCCTGGTACTGTCGGGAGCAGAGCGATACACTTGCTTTCTAAACTGCCCCTGTAACCACTTTCCCCAGGCGCCATGACCTTCTTTCTGAAGTGAAAGGGCATGTCGTGGAGCTGGCTGCCAGAGTGTCAGAACAAACACAAGGAAGATGGGGGTGCAAACGTGTCGTTGCAGAGATGCAAACCAACCTCTCTGCAAAATGTGGGTGCCACTGTCCAAACACAAGTGAAGTAATCCCCTCACCTACTGCCTAGGCATGGTAGGTAGACAGTAGCATCCAGGCGGCCACTGGCTGCTATGGGGAGAACCAAGAGTGGGGTCCCAGCTTATCTTTCTTGCATTAGGATTAAGTTGATGTGTTCATCAGTCAGTAGTCACTGGTCACTTGTATGGTGTTAGCATTATGCTGAGTACTAGTTCAAAGACATCCTGTTCTTAAGACTGGAACAGCACAGTTGGAAACCAGGACACAGAACAATTAAACGTTAACTCGTGTGGAATAGGTAGAGTGTGGGCATAGGCCAGAGAAGGTATAAGTTGGAGTGATCAGAAGCTCTGGAGGGAAGGGAGACTAAAAAGTAATCAGAAGGAAGGATTTCAATCTGGTGTCTTAGGTAGGGTGGGAACGAGGCATGAGGAAAGCCAGACAGGAATTCCACACCGTGGGAAATTAGAGAGGCATTATCTGAAGAACGTATGGGAGTGGTAACACTAACCTCACTGCATCTGTGGGTACCAAAATGCACGGGTACTGCGCATCAAGTGTCAGAGTTGTGTAGGAGGGGCTGACAACAGTCTTTAGATGTGGAGCACACTTAGAAATTCAGGCCAAGGGGTCAGGGAAGAGTGGTGGACTCACAGCTGTGGAGTTGGCTGTGGGTTCAAGAGATGATTAAAAGGATTGCCAACCAGAAGTCAAGACTTGCCTGTGGGAGGGTAGGTGTGGGAGAGGGTAGCTCACTCACAATGGTAGCTGAGACATAGTGGTGAGAACAACTAAGTCAACATCCTGAGATCAAGGAGCAGACCTGGAGCCCATGAGAGATGACAAGTCCACCTGAGCAAGACAATGCTGTCTCAGAAGGTCTCAGAAGGGTTCCTTCAGGTTTGTGTTTTAAGACACAGAAAGAAGAGAGCAAAGAGGAGGAAATGGAACCTGCTGGGAGTCCATGGGTCTTCTATGGGAAGAGAATGCTTACAGACCACAGCAAGAGTCATTGGGACCTGTACTTGCCAGGCCCAAGTTGCATCCCACTTAAACTCTGGAGGGGGAAAAGGAAAGGAAAGACCTTTGACACATAAGGAAGGGACAGCTGCAGAGGCTGTGTGGGTTTGGTATCTCCAGGTCCAGGGAAGGAGTGCAGTCTGGAGGGTAAGAGAGGAGGAGTTACAAGATTGCAAACAATGCAGAGACATGATGGGATGGGTCTATGTCTTCCTCTAGTTCTGGGACAAGAGCTAAGTGGTGGCATCATTGCCAAGAGAATCACTGCTCCTTTTCAGTAGAAAGCAGATGGTACAAAGATTCAGAGGCAGGAATGCAAGTCAGTGGTGAGTATGGGGTGTTTTGCACAGCTAGAGGTTACACGGCCAGCTCTCTGTCAGAGCCTGATTGGATGAGAAATGCAGGGTTCTCTCTCATAGCAATTAGGAGTTTTGGACGGTTGAAGCAAAGAAGTATTTTAATACCTTGTGGGGTCTGGGGTCCCTTGTGAGGAACACCAGACAGAAACAGGAATGGAAACAGGCTCGGCCTTTTCTCCACAGCATCCATGGTTCAGGGTGTTAACAGCCACATTTCTTGTGGACTCAGCTACTTTGCAGCTGGGGTGCCACTGAGGGTCTACTCGTCACCCCTTACTGTTTACTGAAAGAGCCTTCCTGGTGTGATGTCCTCAGCTTGGCCCTGAGAAGACTTATGAAATCCTTTGTGCATCTTGTATGGGCAAAGGGTAAAATGGACCAAGGAGCAAGGACACAGGCTGTCACAAGTCCAGTGTGCTTCCTAGGAGGTGGCCTGGTGCTGTGCCTCACCCCATGGGCTGTATTCCTACTGCCACCTAACTCTCCCAGGGCTCCTCTGGGCTTCCCTGGATATGTCTCATTCCGTGGATCCTTCCCGTCTTGAATCTCAGTTCCCACGAAAGGCTGTGTTTCAGGAAGTATCCTCTCTGTTCTCTAGTCCACAGAATGAAGGGTGAATAGGTACGTAGCACACTCTCACACTAACCCAAATCCCAGCACCTGGACATCATGGACACCATTGAAGGACTCTTGGGCTCCTGTTTTAGACCCACATGTATTCCCTTCACACCACAAAGGGATCTGTGAGATGACCCCCAGGCATGGACAGAAAAGAAGGCAAGTTGGCTTGCCACGGCCCACCAAGAGCATCCCTGTGAAGTGACCTGAGAACTCAGGGTCAGAGCATTACTGCCTGCCTGACCTGGACACCTGAGCTTGAATTGGTGTCAGAAAGCACACGGTCCAGCTGGGGAGACTTGAAAAGACACAGAGCCACCTGAACCTCCATCTGGCTCAGGACTCACTGCCAAAGCCTGACGGACAAAGAGGCTGTGCCCGTAAGGTGTCCTCCAGCATGGTTAGGCAGCGTGGCCGTGCTCAGCCCCCTGACAGGTACCATGCAGGCCCATTCACCAGAACCATGCTGCCACACAGCATTGCTCAGTCCCACCAGGCCATGGCCAGTGTGTGTAGTCTGCCTCCTCTTTAGTAAACGTCTCCATCCTACAGGGCTGCTCAGCCTTCTGCTTCTCTGCTCCTTGCACCCCTTTTCTTTGCTTCTTTCCTGATCTTTTGGCCCTTGGCTTCTTTTCTGTTTTCTTTTGTCCTCCTAGCAGAGTAACCTGGGCCAGAGGGCTGCTAGGTGGTAGCAGTAGGTTCTAGGGCAAAGCTGCACAATAGCTGTGCACCTTCCCTACCTCTCCTCACCACTCCCCAAGCAATGGCTCATGGTTTGCTTCCCACTCTCCCCGCCAGCTTACACCAATAACCAGGCAGACATCGCCACCCAGGGCTGGTTTATCGGGCTCATGTGTGCCATCGCCCTTCTGGTGCTGATCCTTCTCATCGTCTGCTTCATCAAGAGGAGTCGTGGTGGCAAGTACCCAGGTGAGATGTGGGACAGTGGTCAGGCCCCCACCAGATCCGGGCTCCGATCTCTGCTCCTTTAGACTTAGAACTTCAGGCCTGTGCCATAGTTGGTCTTTCCTGGAAGCCGCCAGCAAGAAATTGTGTTAATTATATTTGCTCCAGAAGGATGGATGGTGCAGTCTAGACAGCTCCAGAGTCATGGAAGGAACTCTGGCTCCTACTAAGATGGCTGGCCTTCCCTTGACTTAGCTCCTGTCTGCTCAGCAGAAGGACTTTCTTCAGCTTGAGAGTCAGGGTGGTAGGGAAGTGAGGCAGCCATCTTCAACATGGACAGCAGAAGGCAAGACAGAAACAGCATAACCAAGAGAGACTCCGAATGGTGGCCACACCCTGCTGAGGCTTGTCTTGGTGCCCATTACCACAGACAGACTCAGCAGCTCTGGGTAAGGCAGGCAGTTTCTAATAGCACCCTGACCCCTCCTTAAAGTCCCACAGAAGCATATCTCCCCTGCCTCAAGAGCCTTCAGTGTCAAGGACAAGGACTTCTCCCATTGCTGTGTCAGAAAATATTGATTTTTTTTCCAAATGGGGAAGCTGAGCCATCTGGCTATGACAGGGTGGGTGAGATGACAGGAGACAGGATAACCTGAGAGTAACCATGCTGTTGAACTGAAGAATGAAACTGCCCCTGCCCTAGAGCCCCAGCACCGATACATTCCTGAGATGCTCTTCCTCCTGGGGTGGGGTTGGGCAAACTCAACATGAAGGGAGTGTGGGAGGGATTGATTTTATTCTCTCTCTCTCTCTCTCTCTCTCTCTCTCTCTCTCTCTCTCTCTCTCAGATTTATTTATTTTATGTATGTGAGTACTCTGTTGCTTTCTTCAGACACACCAGAAGAAGGCATTGGGTCCCATTACAGATGGTTGTGAGCCACCATGTGGTTGCTGGGAATTGAACTCAAGATCTCTAGAAGAGCAGTCAGTGCTCTTAACTGCTGAGCCATCTCTCCAGCCCCAATTTTATTCTTTTCCCTGACCAGTACCCACAGACCCTTGGCCTCTGCCCAGTGAGGGGGGTGGAAATTTAATTCCATTGGTGACCAGCGAATTCTTTCACTTTGTTTCACTATATGTAGATTGTTTTTTCTTCTGCAAGAGAGAAAACCACAGCTGGATAGAGCCCCAGATGTGGGGATACTTAGTGAGTCAGAGAGACTTAAACCCCTGAGGAACCCAGCAGATAAAGTTAGAGCCTGCCTTTACCCTCCCAGAAAGTGCCCCAGCCTAGAAAGTTTTCCCAAGCCAGCCCCCTTCCCTCTAGCTTTGGGAAAAGTAGCTCATACAGCCAGAAGACAGATGGGCAACCCAGAAACCAGGCTTCAGCCTTCCTGGAGCTCCTAATTCTATGGCCTGCTCTGGCCTCTCAAATGGGTTGATCATCTCATTCCTGCACCAAAAAGTTCTGCATGTAAGTCTTCGTGCTGGATGCTCAGAATGCATGGGGAGAGATGTCTATTTTCAACGTTACCGCTAGCTCAGAAGGGCCACAGCATAGCAGTACAGGCCTTGGTTGTGTCATCATCCCAGAGGCCATATAGGGTGAGGGAGGATGCCAACAAGAGAGGCTCACAGGTGAGCACCTCCATCCCAGAGGCCTAGGAAGCAGCCTCCCTCCCAAGTGCTCTGACCAGAGCTTTGGAGAAACACAGCCCCCACCCCCATCCTGAAGGAGAAAGCTAGCTTCTGTCACCAGTGAGAAAACATATAAAGATAATTATAATGCAGGGCAAACATGAGAAAAGGCTGAACAAGGAAGTATTTCTCTAGTGTATAGTGGGACAACTTCAAGGAGCAATGGCAGGGAGCTGAGAGGTCTGTCAGCTGGAGTGTAAAGACTTTATGGGGTGTGAAGGAAGCAGAATCAGCTTAGCAACTGATTGAGCCTGGGGGCATTAATAGTGCTTTGTTAAAAAGAAGCTTGTCATTGACTATCACTGAGCCCAAGATGGTGTCTGGGGGTCTGTAGTGTGTGTGGGTGCTGTATGTAGGTGCATGCACTTTTACACAAAGGCTAAAAGAAGGGACTGACTGACCTATGCTAGCATTTCTCTGCCTTGTTCCTTTGAGACAGGGTCTTTCACTGAGCCTGGAGCTAGGCTAGTTCTCATTCTCTCTCATTCTCTCTCATTCTCTCTCATTCTCTCTCATTCTCTCTCTCTCTCTCTCTCTCTCTCTCTCTCTCACACACACACACACACACACACACACACACACACACACCTCCAGAGTTATAGGCACACACAGCAACGCCTAGCTTTTTACATGAGTGCAGTCGACTCCAATTCAAAACCCCCATGCTAGGTAGCACAGCAGGGATCTCTCCAGCCCCCGGGGCTTTCTTTGGGCTGTGTTAGAAACACTGTAGCGAACAGAGGCATTCCTTTTAATCATCCTGCCTGCTTTCTTTTCTCTTACCAACCAGTGCGAGAAAAGAAGGATGTCCCCTTGGGCCCTGAAGACCCCAAAGAAGAAGATGGCTCATTTGACTACAGGTGAGTAAGTGATGTCCTTCCTCTCCTCCCCTGGTAACAGCTCCCTCGCAGCATCCACAGAACCTCCTGCCCACTGGACTGTTGCTTTTACCTCTGTGGCAGCCATCTGACTGAGTGTCTGTTCCCAGAGAAACAGAGAGGCCCTTGAATCCTCTACTGAACAGGAGTTCCTATTTGAGTCTTTCTACTTTCTTCCATCAAAATGAGCCCTGGGACCCTTTTCTGTGATGTAAGCTTGACCATCAGGCCTCCTCCCAGCCAGAATCCCCTAACTCCCAAGATAAATGAATGACCCCAGAAGGCTCACCACCCTGTGAGCTAGTGGCAGAGCTGAAGGAGCTGGGAATGGGCTGCCAGCTGGTGCTCTGTCCTGTGCCCATGCTCCCTCTCAGATCTGATGCAAACTTTCAGTCAGGATTTTTCCGAGTTGCCACTGGTCCATCAGGATGGCTAGTATATTCTGAGCTCAGGAATGGGTCAGAGAATCTCATCTGAATCCATCCATTTGAGATAGGAGAAAATCCCCCACCACAACTCTGCTAACTCTGGGCATAGGTCATCCCATCATCCTCTGACCTCTCTTCCTTCTGAGCCTCTACCCTTCAGACTCTTCTGAGCCTGGCACAGACCACCAGGCCAATGGATAGAGAGCTTCTGCCTGCCCAGAAGCCATCTGGCAGCTTATGGCTGCAGCTGTCCATCCAGCCTGACATCCCTGTTGAGAGGCTCCTCCTCCCTTCCTGGCTGTCCTGGGATCACCTGGCAGGGTCCAGCCTCCCAGTGGGCTGAGAGCTTCCTCTGGCCCTGAGTTAAAAGGCTGTGGGCTTTTGTTCTCCATACCATTGGTACAGCCCAGTGAAGATGAGGACAGGACGAGCTGTACCTCTCTTACCACCAGGCCAGCTTTGGCTCTGTGGAGTCTTCCTGCATCGGATGAGTCCAGGAGTCCTACTAGGGAAAGGCTAAACTTAGGAAATCAGAAGAACTACGTTTCTAAGGAACGTAAGAGTAGGGTCTCCTACTCTGTTCTTGGCTCTGTTGCCGGATACCTTTCTCATGAGTCCCTGTTCTCTCCCATGTCTGTCTTCCTGGACCTTGAGGGTCTCTGGTGGGCCAGACACCCAGACAGTTGGCTAAACCAGGTGCTCTTTCATTCCAGCCTCCTGAGGAAAGTTCTGTTCTTCTAGACTAGCAGTTCTCAACCTGTAGGCTGCAACCCTTTGCAGGGTAAAGGGGGTCGAACAACCCTTTCACAGGGGTCGCCTAGTATCACAGGAAACCACCAGCATTTACGTTACAATTCATAACAGTAGCAAAATTACAGTTATGGAGTAGCAATGAAACAATGTTATGGTTGGAAGTCACCCCAGTGTGAGGAACTGTGGTAAAGAACTGCAGCATCACTCAGGACGGTTGAGAACCACTATTCTAGACCAAGGTCGCTTTCCCCTCAAGAGCCCCATATGCCGAAGCCTTTGACTAGGCTGAGTTCTCCCGGGCCACACGTGCATTCAGCTGAAGTTCCTGCAGCCAGTCCAGGAGTCCTCCTAGATGCCCCAGCATTGCTCATGCCCTGCAGTGTGGCATGGGGGAAGTGGGGGGGGCTGACAGTAAGAATCGGACTGTTTGCAAAGAGTTCCACTTCCTACCCAAACTCAGCTCAGTCCTGGAGAGTCACTAGCTTTACTCTGCCACTGTCCTTCCTGTGACCCTGCTGTCAGAGTACACAGATAGACCGTGACAGTAGGTCACAGTCACTCAGCATATAGCAGGTATGGGCCAGTGGCTTTGTGACCTGGCTACAACCCATCCATCAAGAGGAGATGGAGCACCAGTGGCCTGTGACTACAGGACAAGTCTCTGCTCTTGACAAAAGGTTAGAATCCCAAGGAGACAGCTTCTTCCACTGCTGTCTCAGCAAATGCTTGCCCGGGCAGAGCAATGCTAATGCTTTGGGCCTAGCAAGGAAAAGGGGTGCATGTTCACCCCACATGCCACTGGAAGGCCTGGACATCACATTAGGTAGTCTAAGGGGATTCAGATACAGGATTCAAGGACTTCAGCTAAATGTACCCATAGGCAGAGATAGCTCTACAGAGTCAGAGAACTCAGCGTGTGGGGTTCTCGAGGAGAAAGGGACTTTGTTCTAGAAGAATGGGCCTTGCCTAAGGAGATTTGAATGAAAGAGTGCCTGGTCTAGCCAACTGCCTGGCAGTCTGTCTCCTATCTGTTGATGCTCAGCTCCAGCTTCATCTAAGACCCCTTCCTGGTAGCCCAAGGCTGCTGTTCAAATGCACTGTTAAAATGGCAGTTTAGCCAGGAGGGACTGATGGCTAGGACTGTAGAGGGTGTAGTGTATCCGTTCAGACTGCCTAAAACCACTGGTTCCTTCTGCAGACCTCTAGACCGCCACTGCTGGCCCACAACAGCTTCCTACCTGGGTGCCTGTGTCACCTGTGAAATGTAACCAGCATCACCTGGTCTCTCTGTCCAGCAAGTTTCCAGCTAGGAGGAAGTAGTGCCAATTTGGTGGAACAGCCTCTCATATGCTAGAGAGTACAGCCTAGTGTGGGCTGGGCATTTGTTCTTGCAGGCCAATGCCACTGTATCTCCAAGGTCGCGAACTCTTGTTACCCAGGAGGGCCTTAAGGACAGAGTCTAGAGGGGCTAATAGGATCCTCCAAACCTTGCTAGTGTCTTCTCAAATTATTAGGCCTCACATGCTTCTCTGTGTGTTCCTCCCCCACACCCACCCCTCACCTTTTATTTGCTGGGCCTAGAGTATTAGCATTGCTCTGCCTGGACAAGTAATGCCGAGATGGAAGAGGAGAGAGAGGGTTGGTTTCCTTAGGGTGCTTACTTCTTGCCAAGAACAGTTACTTGTCTCATATCACAGGCCACAGGAGCTCCACCTTGCACCCCTCTGAGATGGACAGGTTATAGTCAGGTCACAAAGCAAAGGGCGAGACTTGCTGAAACCAGAGCCCCTGAATTCTTGCCACATGTCTCACAAGCTATGGCTCTGCTCTCACTACAGTCAGTTGGCCTGTAAAGTTGATCAGGGAAAGGACCTCAGACAAGGAGTTTAGAAGTGCAGTCTCCAGTCCCTGGCCTTTCCTACCATACCATATACCCTGGGGAAGATGCTTATCCTCTCTGTGCCTCAGTTCCCCTTTTGTAGAGCCTGCTGGGCAAGGGAGGATAAACACTGGATGATCTCCAAGTCTCCAGTGCAATCCTCCTGCACTGTGTGCTTGGTAGGAAGCCAGCGGCCCTATCCCACCCCACCTGATTTGGGTTGTGCTGGCCAGTCTGGGCCTGACTCTGTCTCTCTCTGGCCAGTGATGAGGACAACAAGCCCCTGCAGGGCAGCCAGACATCTCTGGATGGCACCATCAAGCAGCAGGAGAGTGATGACAGCCTGGTGGACTACGGCGAAGGTGGTGAGGGCCAGTTCAATGAAGATGGCTCCTTTATCGGCCAGTACACTGTCAAAAAGGACAAGGAGGAAACCGAGGGCAATGAGAGCTCAGAGGCCACATCGCCAGTCAATGCCATCTATTCCCTGGCCTGATGGAGCGTCCCAGGCACAGCTCTACTTTGCAAGTAGGAGGGGAGAGGGGAGATGAAGCAACTGCAGACCTACCACAAAGCCACAACCACCTTCAGGGACAAGGGTACAACACGGGGGTCTGCCAGGCTGTGAGGACCAGTGATCACCCAGCTATCCACAACCCCCTCCGAGTGATGCCCCATTACCCTTGGGTGCCATTAGATGGGAAAGCTAGAGTTACGTTGGAGGGAGCCCTAGTCCCTTGTCCTGTCTCACGGCCACCCTGAGCATCCCACCACAATGGCCACCCTTGATCTCAGCTCACCCACATTCATTTCTATTGCTTACAATATTTTCATTCTCTCCTCTCTCTCTCTCTCTCTCTCTCTCTCTCTCTCTCTCTCTCTCTCTCTCGTGCTTTGTGCATCTTTTCCTTCCAAGTCATTGTCTCAATTTTCTTTTACTTTTGAAAAAAAAAGTCCCTGGAAAAAGAATAAGTGGGCTCTCCCCAAGGGAATGAAAAGATGGGCGAAAAAAGGATTGATCCATAACACAACATGCAGACAAGCTGTAGTATTCAAGCTGCCACCAGGCCAGTGTGTTTCCGAAGGATGCCTTTCGCCATATGCCTCCCCCACCCCCACTCCCCACCCATCTGCCTCGGCCACGTCCATGCTGAGCTGGGCTTGGCTCTTTTCTGGAAAATGACAGTGTTTTTGGCAGGAAGAGGGTAGCAGGACTCCTTGCCACGCCCTGCTTTGGTTGGGAGGGGGTCTTACCTCTTGCTCCTGGTTCTTACTCTGCCCCTGCCACCAGAGAGCCTGCTGATGAGCTGCTTGGAAGATGAGGAAGGAAAAGAGACCCATGAGGACTGTGGCGACCAGACCCCCAAGCGGAAGCAAGTCGGGGTGTGGTCCCTGGGTAACGGAGCAAACCTTCGGAGAAGAAAAAGGGCTGGATTTGGACCTCTTTTGTCTCTGGGGCAGTGAAATCCAGAGTGAAGGAGAGAGGACCACACCTGCTCACCTGGTCAGGGTCTATGCTGCTACCCTCCGGGAGCTGGAGCCCTGTGATTCAGGAGCATGGCTGGTGTATCTGGGGGTAACAATGCTGCTCCCCGTCCCATCCTCTCCTTGCTCAATTGTGTCTGACATTGACTTGTGTTTGGCGTGGTATATGAATGAGGATCTGCTGCCCCCAGACTGAGCCTATCTGTCCTTTCATTACGGTATATACATATCGGGGGACCGTGAGGTGCACCGTACTAACAGTGCTGTGATGCCCCTCCCTGCCTGGAAGGACACAAAGCTCTTCGTATGCCTTACACAGCTCGGATCTAACCCTGCGGTTCCCAGATCCCTAGCCCTATTCTGCAAGTCTTGATGCCTCCAGTGATGTGTGTCTCGGGACCAGGGCAGCCTATGCAAGTGTCCCCTCAGGACCAGAAGCAGCCACTCCACACATGCCCTTACTACCCCTCTCCACCCTAATGGGGTCGCAGGCCTGCAGTCCTCAGCCTGAAGGTGCTGCCTTCATTCCCCCACCTAACCCACTTTTGAAACCAAAGGTACCTTGCCTCAGCGACACAGAGATGGGAAATCTTGAGCCAGAGTGTCACCCTGTTAAGGTGTCTGCAGCCTGAGGCAGTTGTGGGAGGGTAAGGTTGACCACTGTGAGTGGATTGCCGGTCATAGGCAGGGCCTCCAACTTGAGGTACTAGTTAGGGGCCTGGGCGGGACCAGGGCTGTGCATTCCAGGGACTTTTCAAGAGCATCATTTGCCATATGTTTAAGCCGCAGAGGTATTAACAATGCTTGTACACTTGATAAGCATTTGGGTGAATGTCAAGCCCATAGGCACACATTCTTTGCAGGTAAGAAACCATATCCCAGAGATGAGCTGATAATGTTTGAACCTGAGAGTGTGTCATGGTCCTTTGGACCAACCCATGGCCAGCACTGCTGCCTAGAGGCCTGAGGGACAACTCTCATGGTGAAAGGGGACAGGGTAAACAGGAAGGCTAGGGGTGGGGTGTGCTCAGGGTCCCCTTCCCTGGTCTAGTCTAGCACTTCTGGGATATAGCTGGGCATTGCTGCAGTATGTATAGGTCACCATTCCTGAAGGGAGGATTAGGGAGATGTAACTAAAGGATCATCCTTTCCAGAAAACACTCTGGACCCTGGCACAGTGGTCAGTTTCTCAGGCATCATTTATACAGCACCATCCAACCAGTAAACCCATGGTACCAACAGCAGGCAGGGAGGGAAGGAGGGACTCTCAGCTGTCATTGTAGCCATCTCCCTGCCACAGACAGCCTGGAGAAGGCTGCTTTGCTCTTAAGAGTCTGGGAGAGAGGTGAATCCTTAGGCTGTCTTTGTACCTCATTCCAGAGTTCTGTCTTGCTCAGTACTGTCTTCCTCTGCATAGGAAGAAAAGTTCATCAGTCCCTCCCTGAGGCTGTTGTGTTGTGGGTGCTGATAGCTGTCCCAGCCACCAGTGATCACAGCTCTCCTGGCATGAACAGATTGGGGGCTGGAGAACCATAGAAATGGCAGGTGCTCAGACAGAGCAGGCTCAGCGGTATGAGGTTTCCAGGAGGCAGTTTTTTCCAGGAAGAGGAGAGGCTACTTTTCACAGAGCCTGCCAGAGTCTACCTACCCCCAACTCAGCAACAGAACAGTATTGCCACCCCTGTACCTGGATCTTACGAAGCCACCCCAAAGTGATGCCTAATCCAGCTAGTGTTTCATCTGTCAGGGGGATGGGGTGGGTCATCGTGCAGTGATTCTGAGTGCTTATCAAATCCTCTTTGAGCTTCTAGTCTGGGCCAAAGCTTAAGCCATGGAAAACAAGTGAGGTAAGATGTGGTCCCTAACCACCAGGGCTGACGTTACTGGAAATGAGTAGGTGAGCTACTGGCACCATGACCATTCTGTCAGAAGCATTGTGTCCTGGTTTGCCTATACTGCTGCTTGCTTCAAGTCAGAAGGGAGAGGCTTCCGAGGGAGAACTTGCTCCATTGGGCCAGCAAATCTGGGCAGGACATGATGGTCAAGATGAATGGGTTCAGCAACCAGTGCTGTGCTTCTTTAGGGTGTCTGTCTCCCCCACTTAGCCCCCAGGATAGGTGTACCCGGTCAGGATCAGCTGTCCCCATATGGGATATGCTAAACAGGACACATCAGTCTCTACTTGCTTGTAGATAGCTGAGTTAACACTAGAGGGAAAGCCAGGCTGGCTCCTGCCCTTGCCTAGTTCCTCCTTCTTAGAGGTCAGTGTAGGAGGAACCACCCCTCCCAACAAGATCTAGAATAATTCCTGGGCCAAAAGTCAGCCAGTGACTCAGCTCACCTCACAAGGGGAATAAGAGCATGTTCCTGGTTTCCCTAAACACGGTCAGCATTGAGAAGGGAGTGGAAACATCCATGGGTATTTGTGGGTACATCCTCCCCACCCACCATACACCTGTGCATCCACACACACAAGCAGACCCTATTGCAGAGCAGTGTTCCCTATAGGGAGCACCCTAGATCGTGACGTCATCTTACAGCATGAGCATCCATATCTTGCTTCACATGAGATGAACTGTTAAGGCTTGGGGTCGGGGGGACTTTGGGGAGGGAGAAGCTCCGGATTGGGCCTTATTTTTGGTTCCACCCTAGTGCCCGTTCCTCATCTGTGTCACTTCAGCATGGGGTGTCCTCCAACCAAGGCCAGCAGCCTTTGCCCAGTGCAATCCTATGGTCAGAAATAGGTCCAACCAGCTGGGCCACGGTGTTCTCTTTCTAGTGAAACAAAAGTCCTTACATGAATTTCACATGGTAGCCTAGGAATCCCATGTAGGCAGTCCCCACTCCAAAACAAGAAGTCTCAAGCCAGTGACAGAGAATGTGGAGTGTCAGAGGCTTCAGAGTGTCCCCTCAACTCGGTGGCTAAACGCCTGAAACCAGACCCATTGCTGTCCCCACCCAACACAGCCTCAGCCCAGAAAGTGTTCTTGCTTTGCTTCCTCTTCTCAGAAGGGAACTCTCAGAAATGCATTCAGGAGAGGACAGAGAAGGACATGTGCCCAGGGAAGCTGCAAGCCCCCCTGAGCTATCTCCAGCCACAGCGGAAACCAATGTTGCTCTTATCAGCATGTTAGTATTAAAAGGCTGCTGCCTGAGAAGGGAGATGGAGATGAAACAGACACAAGGCGTCTAGCTCAGGACGGAATTGGATTCCTCATGTGAAGGAACCTCAGAGCTGATCTGTTTAAAATGACTCGTTGTGCAGACAGGGAAATGACAATGCAGGGAGGAAATCTGGCCCGTGAGGGTTCATTTAGGACTTGAACTTGGGCCTTCTGGGCCTTCTGACTCCGTGTCCAGTGTTCTTTCTCCTCACCACAGCTGCCTGAGCAGGTGTTGCCTGAGATCTGTCCTGCTTGTCACCCTGTCACCTCTCTCTACCATTACACTGTTCCCAGAAACTCCCAGCTAACAACAAAGAGGCTTTTCCTGAATCTGAGATCAGCCAGTCTGAGATAACCTGTGGTTAACTCAGCTAGGGAGTCTCAGGCTGCCCAAGGCCAGAAGGTAGAATGTATGAGCCCATAGGTTTTTGTTACTGTGAAGCCCATACAGGGCCCCAGGATGGTGTCTCCTGATTAATCACACACCTGGCCTTCAGCATACTGTATTCCTCAGAAGGGAGGGTAAGGAGGGGCGTTTCTGTCCATCCTGCCCTTGACCGCCAAGTCTGCAGGTGTTGAGGGGTAGCAGGGCCCAGGCAAGCCTCCCACCCTGGGGATCTGCCAAGCTGGAGTTTAGCAGATGTAAAAGACTTCTATGAAGCAATAAAAACAAAAGTCTGGGAGAAGATACCCAGAGCTTTGTGCAATCCTGTTTCTTTTTCAAAGCTGTAGCAGATCAGATGACCCTGACCTGCTTGCTCTTCTATCAAATGTGATGTCCTCAGTCAGTGTTTGCCCTCTACCCGGCTTCCCAGCTCTTTGCCAACTTCTTCTGAGCTGAGTTACAAGTCGCCTGTGACACACCCACTCTCTGTCCTGGTCCTGCCCTCAACCATGGTAGATCCTGGAGGAGCTTGTACCCCTCCCCTACCCCACATATGCATCTCCCCCTTCTGATGTGGTGTTCCCTGTGTCTCCATGCTGCCCACATTCCTAAGCACATGAGTTGGTCTAATCTTTTTTCCATTGGTTACCTTTAACCCTCCATGGCAGGCTCATGTTAATCCCTCATATCGTGTCCTTCCCCTCTTGTGAGTTATTTGTCATTAACCAACATTGTCAGCGACAGACATGTGTCTGAGGGTGTCGTGCACGACCTTCAGCAGGGACATCTGGGCCATGGAGGACCGTCTAATA